CTCTCTCTCTCTCTCTCTCTCTCTCTCTCTCTCTCTCTCTCTCGATATATATATATATGGGAACAGAAAGAAGGAACCTAGTAAGGGACGGGTGTTGCTGAGAGACAGAGCCAATGCTTGGAAATAGTTACAGTATTAAATGTAACAAGTTTACTTTTCCATATATTTTTTATTATTAAGGTGAGCGATACAGGCCCCCTGTGCCTCTTGTTTAATGGACGAGGACAAATTCGTGCACTTGCATATTGTTTTAGTTCAATTTTTGAATTAACTAATTAATCAAATTATTTAAAGGCAATGTGTCAAACAAAGACAAAGACAAAGACTCGTGACATTTCGCCTTCAAGACAAAATTTACATAGATATATTTGTCTTGAAGTTTTTGGTTTGTGAGCAAGGAGATTGTGTCTTGTTGTGAAACATGTATCCCCAATAATAGAATATACTTGCTGTATGTACACACATGACTACTGCTCTGTTACCAGCTGGACACTGAAAATAAAAATGTTTTACAGGATCATCAGTATCATTACTGTGATATTTAATCCAGACATGTACTTTGTTTGAAATTGAGGTGTGGAACAAATCTGACCACGTAATAAGTTTGCTGAGTGGCATTTCACACAGATCTCATAGTCACTTTCAGATGTAAGGTGGTCTGATATGTAACCACTCAGCTTCAGTACATCAGTTTTTTGCAATTCACATAGCCATCCACACTGTGGCTAAAGAATATTTCGTACGTTGCATCTATTCTTATTCAAATGTTTGAACCGCACTTTGCAACTTGTTCAGATACGTATACAGCCCATGTTGTACTTTGTATTCCACTACGGTTTAACTGAGACCCTGTGACAAAGACATCAAGGGTTTCGGATGACACATATAACATCGTTTGCATTTAAAAACGTCATAAGGATTTGAAGATGTACTATTTGTGTTCAAAAACCAAATATTTATATTCAAAAGTGTTTTGTTTTGTTTTCATCCGAAAGAACGTGTTATGTGTTATGTATTATTAAACCTAGATGAAATGTTTGGAAGAGGATACAATTTGTATCTGTGCAAATACATGGAACAATGCACTTGGTTTTAACTTAAATATTCATTGCATACCATTTATTGATATAAATTCTGTGATTTCAGGTTATGTACGTTATCAATGATACAAGCAATACAATATTATCGAAAACACCATAAAACATCTGTTTATCAAACCTTTCATACGACACGACACCGACAAGGTATCCCTTTCAAACACAGCGGTACAGGGAACTACTTAATAACATGTTCACTACTTTCACTTTAAGGTGTTGATAAAGGCACCAGAAGACGTAGTTCCTTCATTTGTCAGTTAGGGAAAGAACCGTGTTTTATGTGTGATCAGATAAATAGAAAACTATTGAACTAAATAATGTGTAACCTTATACATGTAGTATCATAGTATTACGTTTTGCGTACGTTCTGTACGGGCTCATATGGAGCTCAAAATAAACTATATGGTACACATAGTTGGTAGGGATAGATACACCCGCCTGTACTTGGTTACTCATCTCACACCTACAGTGTATTGGGTCAGCACTCTCGGCACACGCGGGACGACAAGTGTTGCTTTCTGATCCGATCCGGAACTATTGTTAGAGAACGACCGTAATATCACGTTTTAAACACAGAATGTATGTTTTCGAATGATACGTTTTTAGTGCTTATGTTATATCCATAAGAATTTAAATAATTATCTTTTTAATAGAAGTGATATGTTTTTTTAATGTAAATAGAAATATGTTCTTGAATGGAAATAAACATGTTTATATTGCAAGTGTAAACCATTGAATATTGCAACTCTTGACAAGCCATATAAGGTCATTTTTATTTTTGTTTTTGAGTTTGTGTTAGCTTATATTGCTAAGTAAGGCTCCCTTTATGACGTACACACCGTGCCTCCAGCATATATCCGGTGTTATCACGGTAGGGTGCGCGTGATGTGTCGCTGATACCCGTATTTATAGTTATAAGGAGTTCGGGAATCACTGAACCGAGGTTGGAGATGTTATTAGGGCTGCCACCCCCGGGCCCTATCAGAGAATGGCCGTGTATATAAAATTAGTATTATCAAGTGCGTCAACGATCTACGAATGACACATTTGACCTCTATATTACTGTTAAATCAGAAATTGTGCTTATTGTAGGTACATTTAAACTTCTACATTGAACTGACTTTGATGAAAGGTAAATAATTCATAAAGCTCTGTCGATAAAAGAGCTAAAACCGGACAGAAACGTGACAGTCAATCATGGGAACGGCTGTGTCGGTACATTATGTACACTGTAAATCAAGCTCCACTTACCCACACCGTGTGACGTACAATTGTGTATTCGATGTGAAAAAAGAGCAATTCGATACAAATGATCACACCTTATACCTTACCCCATCACTGGTGACGTTCACACGTTAATGGAACTCGGACATGGTCGTGTTTCATACGGAATGGTGTAAACTCAGCGGATCATGAACGGTATGTCCAACATTGCACCTACACGCACACCAGAACCAGGTGATCGTGCTTACATTGTTTAATAATAATTAAACAACATTCTTTCCTTGTCTTTATTGTATAATGTTGTAGATCAGTTCATGTAGTAATGCTATTCAATTGGGCCACCATACGTATAATTGGGCCACCATACGTATAATTGGGCCACCATACACATAACTGAGAGCGTGAATATGTCTGAGCGTATGACCAATCATCATATCAATTATTATCCTAGATAAAGATAAATAATTCATACTTAAAGTGAATGAAATGTGACTTTCAAGTATACACGATGTTATATATATTTTGTGAGATATCTTTTCATACATATGGTAACGAGCTATATTTCTGATAGGCATATTTACAATATGTCATAACATTGAATACGTTACATGTATTCAATATTGTTAAAGAGATACATGTGTACATATACTGTACACGTATCTAATGCAAGTTGATAGATGGCATAACCAAATGTTGTTATAAATTGTAACGGAAAACCCTGTAACAAAAGCGCTAAGATATACAGTATGATAATAAAGAGCTCAGGCTGCTTGGTCAGTTAACGAATGCTGATCCTGTTGCTGAAACATTTAAATCGATATTATAAGATGTATTAAAATCCATGATGTACGAAAACCCAATTAGCCGCTAAACAGTATCTCCATAATAACTGCCGTCTTGTACTTTACCATGCTTACTAAGAATGATACAAAGTCAGTTACCTACCTCTGTGTCGATCATTCATCGGTGGGCGAGCTTTCTTCTAAATGTGTTTGAAATATATGTAATAATATAAATACCACGAAGTCATAGTGATTTGTCACCATTGAGCTACATAAGGCTGAGGTGCATTAATGAAAATTGACGTACTGATTGTTAAATATGAAATAGTACTGTAGTTAATAGTTTATGAACTGGAGTAAAGTGTGTGAATCCTATTGGTACGGCAGCTCAAAGAGAGTTACATGTACGTATTAAACTACACAAAACACTAAGGCAGAACACTTTATATAACACGTGAAGCTTGACCTTCATGTACCAGCGGTAGTGTCTCTTTAGGAACCATCCGTACAGCGACCATAACCAAACACTTGTTGTTGTTCAGTAGGAAACTGTCCTTAAAGCAACAATTACTAACCATTTTTAACAGGAAAACTGTCCGTTAGCGACTTACAATAACCATTGTTTAATAGGAAAACTGTCAGAACAGCGACTAACAATAACCCATGTTCAAAAGGAAAACTGTCAGTACAGCGACTAAAAATAACCCATGTTCAAAAGGAAAACCGTCAGTACAGCGACTAACAATAACCCATGTTCAATAGGAAAACTGTCAGTACAGCGACTAACAATAACCCATGTTCAAAAGGAAAACTGTCAGTACAGCGACCATAACCAAACCCTTGTTGTTGTTCAGTAGGAAACTGTCCTTAAAGCAACAATTACTAACCATTCTTAACAGGAAAACTGTCCGTTAGCGACTTACAATAACCATTGTTTAATAGGAAAACTGTCAGAACAGCGACTAACAATAACCCACGTTCAAAAGGAAAACTGTCAGTACAGCGACCATAACCAAACACTTGTTGTTGTTCAGTAGGAAACTGTCCTTAAAGCAACAATTACTAACCATTTATAACAGGAAAACTGTCCGTTAGTGACTTACAGTAACCCTTGTTTAATAGGAAAACTGTCAACACAGCGATTAACAATAACCAATGTTCAAAAGGAAAACTGTCAGTACAGCGATTAACAATAAGCCATGTTCAATAGGAAAACTGTCAGTACAGCGACTAACGATAACCCATGTTCAAAAGGAAAACTGTCAGTACAGCGACTAACAACAACCCATGTTCAAAAGGAAAACTGTCAGTACAGCGATTAACAATAACCCATGTTTTCAAAAGGAAAACTGTCAGTACAGCGATTAACAATAACCCATATTCAAAAGGAAAACTGTCAGTACAGCGATTAACAATAACACATGTTCAATAGGAAAACTGTCAGTACAGCGACTAACAATAATCCATGTTCAATAGGAAAACTATCAGTACAGCGACTAACAATAACCCATGTTCAATAGGAAAACTGTCAGTACAGCGACTAACAATACCCCATGTTCAATAGAAAAACTGTCAGTACAGCGGCTAACAATAAACCATGTTCAAAAGGAAAACTGTCAGTACAGCGATTAACAATAACCTATGTTCAATAGGAAAACTGTCAGTACAGCGATTAACAATAACCCATGTTCAATAGGAAAACTGTCAGTACAACGACTAACAATAACCCATGTTCAAAAGGAAAACTGTCAGTACAGCGATTAACAATAACCCATGTTCAAAAGGAAAACTGTCAGTACAGCGACTAACAATAACCCATGTTCAATAGGAAAACTGTCAGTACAACGACTAACAATAACCCATGTTCAAAAGGAAAACTGTCAGAACAGCGATTAACAATAACTCATGTTCAAAAGGAAAACTGTCAGGACAGCGATTAACAATAGCCCATGTTCAATAGGAAAAAACTGTCAGTACAGCGACTAACAATAACCCATGTTCAATAGGAAAACTGTCAGTACAGCGATTAACAATAGCCCATGTTCAATAGGAAAAAACTGTCAGTACAGCGACTAACAATAACCCATGTTCAATAGGAAAACTGTCAGTACAGCGATTAACAATAACCCATGTTCAATAGGAAAACTGTCAATACAGCGACAATAACCAAACACTTGTTGTTGTTCAGTAGGAAACTGTCCTTAAAGCAACAATTACTAACCATTTATAAAAAGAAAACTGTCCGTTAGTGACTTACAGTAACCCTTGTTTAATAGGAAAACTGTCAGTACAGCGATTAACAATAACCCATGTTCAAAGAAAAACTGTCAGTACAGCGACTAACAAGAACCCATGTTCAAAAGGAAAACTGTCAGTACAGCGATTAACAATAAGCCATGTTCAAAAGGAAAACTGTCAGTACAGCGACTAACAATAACCCATATTCAAAAGGAAAACTGTCAGTACAGCGATTTACAATAACACATGTTCAATAGGAAACCTGTCAGTACAGCGACTAACAATAACCCATGTTAAATAGTAAAACTGTCAGTACAGCGACTAACAATAACCCATGTTCCATCGGAAAACTGTCTTTACAGCGATTAACAATAACCCATGTTCAATAGGAAAACTGTCAGTACAGCGACTAACAATAACCCATATTCAAAAGGAAAACTGACAGCGACTAACAATAACCCATGTTCAAAAGGAAAACTGTCAGTACAGCGATTAACAATAACACACGGTAATATTCAGTTAGAAACTGTTCGTGAAACAACCACTTATCAACAGTAAACAGTCTGTAAAATAGCCATCACTTATCATATCAACTTCGTCAAAAAGCGAAAAGATATGTTTCAATTTGTTCTTGCAGTTTTTATACAAATACCATGACATACTTTCAAATGAAAAATCAAGCCTTACACTGCTATTAAGGATGTTTTATACAATTGTAATAAAAACAATAGTCTTTCAGCACGTGTTATACTATAACCTACATTCTAATGGACGTGTTATTATATAAACAACGTTCTGATGGACGTGTTATGATATAAACTACAACCTGATGGACGTGTTATAGTATAAACTACATTCTGGTGGACGTGTTATGATATAAACTACATCCCGGTGGACTTGTTATAATATAAACTACATCCTGGTGGACGTGTAATTATATAAACTCCATCCTGGTGGACGTGTTATTATATAAACTCCATTCCGGTGGCGTGTTATTATATAAACTACAGTGTACATTGAGATGGACGTGTTATTATATAAACTACTATCTAATGGACGTGTTACATTGTATTATATAAACTACATTCTGATGGACGTGTTATTATATAAACTATATTCTGGTGGACGTGTTATCATATAAACTACATTCTTGTGGACGTGTTATTATATAAACTACATCCTGGTGGACGTGTTATTGTATAAACTGCATACTGGTGGACATGTTATTATATAATCTACATCCCGGTGGACGCGTTATTATATAAACTACATCCTGGTGGACGTGTTATTGTATAAACTGCATCCTGGTGGACATGTTATTATATAAACTACATCCCGGTGGACGCGTTATTATATAAACTACATCCTGGTGGACGTGTTATTATATAAACTCCATCCTGGTGGACGTGTTATTATATAAACTCCATTCCGGTNTTCTGTTTTATGAATGACAAGTAATAAATATTTACATGGCATACCATCTGTACGGATTGATTTTAAAATCGTGCGGATGAATAAGGGGGTAGGGGTGTTGAATGAAATAAATGTGAGAAAACAGAGCTGTAAAAAATGTGGTTTTATATCATTAAAAAACGATAAAAACTGCAATTAAATGCTATTGATATACTTCCCGGCCTTTTCCCCTTAGGTCTGTGGGCATGCATTCTCTGGCTTACCCAGATACCGTTAAAGATGTTTCATCTTCCGAGGCACATATACAGGTCTTACAATGGAGGAGAGACCATGTAATTGGAATTTACGTGTTCTATAAAAACGATAAGTTGGACGCTTGAGTTATAATCGATATATTTGACAAAGGTTGATTCAAGTTGCTAGGTGTATGTACCATGTTTCGGCTGCATTCCGTGTCTTAGCCGAGAATTTCTAAAGCGATAACGTGGACATGAAACTGACAGTCTCGTCAACATTCACTTAACAGATGCGTTTATGGTAATAAAACATTCGTTATCTACATCGTAACTACTTGTGAGACGTGTCACCAGTCTAGTGACCGCCACGCTGTAAACACCTGGTACACATACACACGACACCCTCCGGGAACGTATCGATATCTCTGTTTACACCTGGTTCACCTACACACGACACCCCTCCGGGAATGTATCAACATCTCTGTTTACACCTACACACGACACCCAGAAACGTATCAATATCTCTGTTTACACCTGGTTCACGTACACACGACACCCCCAGAAACGTATCGATATCTCTGTTTACACCTGGTTCACCTATACACGACACCCCCGGGAACGTATCAACATCTCTCTTAACATCTGGAACACCTACACACTTCACCCCCGGAAACGTATCGATATCTCTGTTTACACCTGTTACACCTACACACGACATCCCTCCGGGAATGTATCAACACCTCTGTTTACACCTTCACACGACACCCCTCCGGGAATGTATCAACACCTCTGTTTACATCTGGAACACCTACATACTACACCCCCGGGAACGTATCGATATCTCTGTTTAAACCTGGTTCACCTACACACGACACCCCCGGGAACGTATCAACATATCTCTTTACATCTGGAACACCTATACACTACACCCCCGGAAACGTATCGATATCTCTGTTTACACCTATTACACCTTCACACGACACCCCTCCGGGAATGTATCAACATCTCTGTTTATAACTACAGTAGTACACATACACACGACACCCTCCGGGGACGTATCAACACCTCTGTTTACACCTAGTACACATACACTACACACGACACCCTCCGGGGACGTATCAACATCTCTGTTTACACCTGGTGCACCTACACAAGTCATCCCCGGGAACGTATTGATATCTCTGTTTACACCTGATACACCTTCACGTGTCGTGTGTAGGTGTAAACAGAGGTGTTGATACATTCCCGGAGGGATGTCGTGTGTAGGTGTATACAGAGGTGTTGATACATTCCCGGAGGGGTGTCGTGTCTAGGTGTAAACAGAGGTGTTCATACATTCCCGGAGGGATGTCGTGTGTAGGTATAGACAGAGGTGTTGAAACATTCCCGGAGGGATGTCGGGTGTAGGTGTAAACAGTGGTGTTGATACATTCCCGGAGGGATGTCGTGTGAAGGTGTAAACAGAGGTGTTGATACATTCCCGGAGGGATGTCGTGTGTAGGTATAAACAGAGGTGTTGAAACATTCCCGGAGGGATGTCGTGTGTAGGTGTAAACAGTGGTGTTGATACATTCCCGGAGGGATGTCGTGTGTAGGTGAACCAGGTGTAAACAGAGATATTGATACGTTTCTGTGTGTCGTGTGTAGGTGAACCAGGTGTAAACAGGGATGTTGATACGTTCCCGGAGGGTGTCGTGTGTAGGTGTACCAGGTGTAAACAGAGATGTTGATACGTTCATCTCTGTTTACACCTAGTACACCTACACCCCTTCGGGAATGTATAAATATATTTGTTTACATCTGGCACACCTACACACTTCAGCCCCGGGAACGTATCGATATCTCTGTTTACACATAGTACACCTACACACGACGCCCCTCCGGGGACGTATCAACATCCTCGTGTAGACAATCACATCATATTCAAACGAGGCATCTATAGACAATACCACATAACAACGAATTAGATGTAGTTTTGTTTATCACAGAATAAGTTACTATAGTAAATATGGATTACAAATGGTAAGAAGAACGTCCCGCTCGTTGTGGTAAAGAGACAATACATAAGTAATGTAAGTACTGATTGAAAGTAATAACCTGCTGTGTTTTCTATGTTCCAAATCTTTTGAGATTTTATTTCACAGTAATGATTTCGAAAATAGAAATTAACTGTAACTATTTATAGATTTTATCTTTGATAGCTCATTTTAGGTCATGAACACTAGGCTGAGATTGTTATTATAATGAAATGCATGTACAAAGGTCGGATTGTTTCTTTTACATGTACTTTCGTTGAATATGTTTTGTCTTTTGTTAGATGAAACGCTGGGTGTGATCATCGGGGGAGTGACAGGGGGAGTCGTCCTCATCAGTTTTATAATCATCACCTTAGTCGTCTGTCGGAGGTGGAAACAGAAGCGTAAGTCATGGGACTACGATTGGGAGAACAGCGACAAGGCCCAGATCACCAAGTCGGCGCCCATTTCCAGGTACTGTAACAGTGACGTGTAGAAGTGTCCGTGAAGTGTCTAGGTTACCCGGAGACGTACATTGTATGTGATTTATACGTCTCTGGGTAACCGTAGCGCCATTGGACACATAGAGTGCTCTTTTTTGACAATATTAATAACAATTAAAATATATCATTGTTTAGTATACATTCTGAATTAAAACAAATCACCCGTGACAGAATTAAACACGTCCTTCGTTAATTTCTGTTGATGTGAGTTTTGTCAAGGAAACAATATTGACAGAACAGCACTCCAACAATCAAAGTCGTTTGCGTGATTAAATAAAATTCAAATGTAAGGTTAGTTGAAGCGAAGCGTCAGGTGTTACATTAACGATGCAATATTCATGACCAAAATTACATGACAAATTTCACAAGGGGATCGATCGATAGTATCATTCTGTATGTTCATATAGAGAACATGCGAATTGTTAAGTATATCAATTACAAAAACAAAACTATAGACAGACTGCCTGTGTAAGTCGACATTCTAGTGTTTTTAATTATAATTACTACAGGAGCACTTCCCCAAACACGACGAAGCGGAAATCGTGTCCAGATACCACGCCGTTTAAGGGAGTCATGGTGCGCTCCATGACAACGGACGGAATCCCAGATTTCTCCCTCCCACCGGAAAGAGTTCAGCCATGCATAACACCCAAGAGGAGTCAGAGTATGGCGCCTATCCAGTCAAACCTTCTTGGAGATATACAGCCTGACCTCTACAGGTAACCCTTACCAGAATAGATAGTTCAATCTCGTAACCATGATTACCGCTCCCACCAAGTCACGCGTAATCTCATACCAAACTGCACGCCCATAGACTTACACTCACATCAACCGCACATCCATACCTACCAACACCGCCACCAACATTTATACTTGTACTAATTCTCACATACGTTCCCGCTCATACCTCTCCGCTTATACTTCACAACCATTTTAATGTAGGACAAATGGTCGGCAGCTGAGAGACCACAGGACATGTTGTCTTAGTTCGTAAACGTAGTACCATTTAATTTACAGCATGTTTCAATCATAATGAAACGACATACAATGTAATATATATATATTTCATGTTATTATTGACCCTAACAATTGTTATGATTACCGAACAAAAATATATATATTCTATTTAACTACTTAACAAAAATTAACTTCAAATGATTACTGGGCATAAACGATATATTCTATGCAATTGTGACTTGCACATCCATGTTCCTCAGACTGGTTCTTGTGTTATTTCCTTTCTGCTCACGCATGCTTTCATATTTTTTTTATTTTTTTTGACGCGAATATAATCAAACACCAACCTACATTGATGTATATATCATACTTGTCTGCAAAATTGCAATCACGACACACATTCCAACAGTAAATAATAACGTCAATGTTAACAGGTCGTACGGCGGATGTGACGATGACGATTTCCATCTCCCTCCAAGCGAACATGGTCGGCTATGGTTGAGCGTTATTTATGACGCGGTCGTGGAACAGCTGCACGTGACTCTGGTCAAGGTCAAAGAGCTTATAGGTGAGTTTGTGCCATGTACCAGGTACTAACAAGGTGTGTTGCCACCATGCGCTGTACAGTCTCAACAAGGGGAAATTCGGTGATTGTGAATAGGACCATAGTCGATTTCAAACGAGTAGCCTAGATAACTGACTTTATTCCTCGATGCTTATACAAAATTATTCAATATTTAATTTATTGCCGTACGGCCATTTTATAAACTAACCAAAAATGTTGTTATAAACCAGTCAAAGAATTGCATGTGCATATTTACCAGTTGGAAACAGTTCGGATATTTCCATACAATTTACGTTTGTCGCCTAACGGACCTTGTAACAGTAGCAAAACTTTGTATTCGCAAACATTTGCTATCAATTGGTTTAGCATTTTTAAAGTTGCGTCAACTGAAAGAGACACTAAAAAAAGAGAGGATTAAAATGCATCTTCTGATATTTATGGTAATACATTGTACAGCCTCGAGAGAATTTATGACAATGAATTTAACAAATCATAAGAAATCGTAGCCGAATTGATTTGTCAATTTCGTACATGTATAACAATTAAGTTCGTACATATTTACACTTTGGTGTACATACCTTCCTGGAATGTTTTTTTTTTTAAATTATGAAAATCTGTTGGCAACATAGATTCAGAGACACAGAGTTCAAATATACTATCCAAGATGCTACAAGATGATTTTCACTCCTTAGATATTACATATGTCATCACTCTTTTAATTCGGTGAAATTGTCTTTTTCAAAAATCCGCAAAAGGACGTGGCAGGGAAAACAGTGGTCGAGATCCCTTCGTTAAAATCTTCCTCCTTCCCGACGAAAGAAACTGCAGGATTTCCAAAGTTCGGAAGAAAACACTCACTCCTGTCTATAATGAAAAATTTGTGTTTGAGGTAGGTACACTACACCTTAAGTTATGACGTCTTATTTCTGTTTTAATGTGTAGACATTCTACATATAACAATTTACATTTAAATAATAGCCATCCATATTGTATAGTATGATTATCTACTTTGTTATGGGTTTTACGTCCTCTCAATATCTTCATATTAATGAAGACAGTGCCCAGGGTTAATGGTCAACTCAAGTACCATCTCACTGAAATATCATGACCCGTACATGGTAGCGGGGCAGTCCTACTTGCCCCATTGTACTGACAAAGGGCTATCTACATTTTATAAACATAGTATCCACATTGTATGAAAGTATTATCTATATTAAACAGAACGGTTGTCTGAATTAAATTATAGACAACAAGTAGCCACGTTGTTATAATTGTATAATGGAAGGCCCCCTTATATATTACAGTATGTAGGTGTCAGAAATCACATCCATCGATACTGTATGTGAAGTTGTAACACTGGCACTTGTACCACTTTTAAACTATAAGGAACGTTTTACACTGATTCTGCGTTTAAACTGAATGTAAAGTCTTGTAACACTGACACTGCTAATACACTTAAAGTAAAGCTGTAAAACTGAAACCACTTATAAACGTCTTGTTCAATTGTAACACCGGTATTACTTACACAATCTATAAACTGTAGGTACATTGTTGTAACACCGGTATTACTGACATAATCTATAAACTGTAGGTACATTGTTGTAACACCGGTATTACTGAAACAATCTATAAACTGTAGGTACATTGTTGTAACGCCGGTATTACTGACACAATCTATAAACTGTAGGCACATTGTTGTAACACCGGTATTACTTACACAATCTATAATGTGTAGGTACATTGTTGTAACACCGGTATTACTGACACAATCTAGAAATTGTAGGTACATTGTTGTAACACCGGTATTACTGACACAATCTATAAACTGTGGGTACCTTGTTGTAACACCGGTATTACTGACACAATCTATAAACTGTAGGTACATTGTTTTAACACCGGTATTACTTACACAATCTATAATCTGTAGGTACATTGTTGGAACACCGGTATTACTTACACAATCTATAATCTGTAGGTACATTGTTGGAACACCGGTATTACTTACACAATCTATAATCTGTAGGTACATTGTTGGAACACCGGTATTACTTACACAATCTATAATGTGTAGGTACATTGTTGTAACACCGGTATTACTGACACAATCTAGAAATTGTAGGTACATTGTTGTAACACCGGTATTACTGACACAATCTATAAACTGTAGGTACATTGTTTTAACACCAGTATTACTTACACAATCTATAAACTGTAGGTACATTGTTTTAACACCAGTATTACTTACACAATCTATAAACTGTAGGTCAATTGTTGTAACACCGGTATTACTTACACAATCTATAATCTGTAGGTACATTGTTGGAACACCGGTATTACTTACACAATCTATAATCTGTAGGTACATTGTTGGAACACCGGTATTACTTACACAATCTATAAACTGTAGGTCAATTGTTGTAACACCGGTATTACTTACACAATCTATAAACTGTAGGAAAATTGTTGTAACACCGGTATCATTTACAAACTGTATGTTAATTTGTAACACGGATATTATCTTTAATACAGTTTATTTACAAATAACACTCATTGAAAGTCTGTTAAAGTTTTTAACTGGTATTACCTATGTAATGAATGAAATTTTAATCAATCATAGTACTTATAAACTGTATATGATTATTTAAAAACTGTCTGTATAATTGTTTCTTTGAAGATGTGTATATCAATTACATTCACGTGGACTTTTATAAGACACAAATTCAAATGAGAGATTCTAGGCAGCATTTCGTTCATCACCATTAAAAAGTACTGTCTTTGCAGGTTAGTCCCAAAGATATAGACGAGAGCATACTCCGGTTTTCTGTGTATGACGTAGACAAACGCCGCGTGCGACACTCCCTTGGTCACGTGCTACTAGCCCTACGGGATCTTGACATCACCAAAGGCGACACCATCTGGAAGGACCTAGAACAAAGCCATCAGGTACGAACCCAGACTCAAATTTACTCTTGAAGATTATGGGTCCTCTATTTCTTGGGCAAATCGGAACAATGTCATGTCCTTATAGCGCGAACTGGGGTAGCGACCACAAAGCAACAATGCTCATTAATGAGCTTAATACATAAAGATCGACCTTCATATAACACAAAGAAACAGCGTCCCGATGATTTTATGACGGCGACCTGTAAGGTTGTCCTTACTCTTCAACAAACTACATATTTGGAAACCCTGTGTTGTAAGCTTGTCCTTCAGAATTCGACATGAATCGCGAAAGTGATTATATTCGGAGCAAACGTTTGAATACCGAAACAACTGCAACATGTAAACACCATATGTGGAGGAAGCAGGGACGTTAGTATCGAGAAAAAGCAAGTTCACGATTGAAAAACTGAAATCGTCGCGCTTATCGAACAGCCTAGTTGTAAGCATTCCCACTTGATCATGTTGTAAGTAAAGATCGTAGAAGGCGCTTGAATTAGCACAGTCTTTAGTGACTTTGACCTCAGGAGGGTGTGTACAATTTACGATCGAAGTGGTCAACTTATATCATATTTTTAAAGACAGCACTTCCTCGATATATCTGAGATGGGATAGTTTTTTGCTACCTGTCCTAATAACTCAACAATAAATTCAGCCTCATATGAAAACAAAACCAAGTCGGCAGGAAGAGTGTCACAGTTTGTTCCCATAGGAATGCCCTAAGACGTTAGAACTTGTTGTTAAAATAGCATGACTTACTTTAAGGTATGGCTATTGTTACATGGTGTTATTATTTGCCCTGGGTGAAACTGTCTCTATTTTTCAGAGTGACCTTAATATAATCAAGAATGAACGTAATGCACACAGAGGAATATTGCATATTTAAAACTGGTAATAGATAGAGTATGGTAATAGATACGGTATGGTAATACATTTAGATAGAGTATGGTAATAGATACAGTATGGTAATTGATACAGTATGGTACGATTAATATATACAGTATGACAATATATACAGTATGACAATATGTACAGTAAGGTAATTGATACAGTATGGCAATAGATACAGTATGGTAATAGATACAACCATATATACTGTATGGTAATAGATACAGTATGGTAATATATACAGTATGGTAATATATACAGTATGGTTATATGACAATATATACAGTATGACAATAGATACGGTAAGGTAATATATACAGTGGTAATAGAGACAGTATGGTAATATACACAGTATGGTTATAGATACAGTATGGTAATATATACAGTATGACAATATAATTATGCAGTATCATAATATATACAGTATGGTAATAGATAGAGTATGGTAATAGATACGGTATGGTAATACATTTAGATAGAGTATGGTAATAGATACAGTATGGTAATTGATACAGTATGGTACGATTAATATATACAGTATGACAATATATACAGTATGACAATATGTACAGTAAGGTAATTGATACAGTATGGCAATAGATACAGTATGGTAATAGATACAACCATATATACTGTATGGTAATAGATACAGTATGGTAATATATACAGTATGGTAATATATACAGTATGGTTATATGACAATATATACAGTATGACAATAGATACGGTAAGGTAATATATACAGTGGTAATAGAGACAGTATGGTAATATACACAGTATGGTTATAGATACAGTATGGTAATATATACAGTATGACAATATAATTATGCAGTATCATAATATATACAGTATGGTAATAGATAGAGTATGGTAATAGATACGGTATGGTAATACATTTAGATAGAGTATGGTAATAGATACAGTATGGTAATAGATACGGTATGGTAATAGATACAGTGTGGTTATATATACAGTATGGTAATATATACAGTATGACAATATAATTATGCAGTATCATAATATATACAGTATGGTAATAGATACAGTATGGTAATATGTACGGTATGGTAATATATACAGTATGACAATATAATTATACAGTATCGTAAAAGATACAGTATGGTAATAGGTACAGTATGATAATAGGTACAGTATGGTAATAGATACAGTGTGGTTATATATACAGTATGGTAATATATACGGTATGACAATAGATACAATATGGTAATAGATACAGTACGACAATATATACTGTATGGTAAAAGATACAGTATGGCAATAGATACAGTGTGGTAATAGATACAATATGACAATAGATACAGTATGGTAATAGATACAGTATGGTAATAGATACGGTATGGTAATATATACAGTATGACAATAGATACGGTATGGTAATAGATACAGTATGGCAATAGATACAGTACGGCAATATATACAGTATAATAATAGATACAGTATGGTAATAGAAACAGTAGGGCAATATATACAGTATAATAATAGATACAGTATGGTAATAGATATAGTATGACAATATATACAGTATGGCAATAAATACAGTATGGTATTAGATAAAGTATGGTTATATATACAGTATTGTAATATATACAGTATGGTTATAGAGACAGTATGATAATATACACAGTATGGTAATAGATACAGTATGGTAACATATACAGTATGACAATATATACAGTATGACAATATATACAGTATGACAATAGATACGGTAAGGTAATATATACAGTGGTAATAGAGACAGTATGGTAATATACACAGTATGGTTATAGATACAGTATGGTAATATATACAGTATGACAATATAATTATACAGTATCATAATATATACAGTATGGTAATAGATACAGTATGGTAATAGATACGGTATGGTAATATATACAGTATAGCAATAGATACAGTATAATAATAGATACGGTATGGTAATAGATACAGTATGCCAATATATACGGTATTGTAATAGATACAGTATGGCGATAGATACAGTAAAATAAAAGATACAGTACTATAATAGATACAGTATGGTAATAGATACAGTATGACAATATATATAGTATAATAATAGATACGGTATGGTACATATGTAATAGATACAGTATGGTAATATATACAGTATAATAATAGATACAGTATGGTAATAGATACAGTATGGCAATACATACAGTATAATAATAGATACGGTATTGTAATAGATACAGTATGCCAATATATACGGTATGGTAATAGATACAGTATGGCAATAGATACAGTATGACAATATATACAGTATAATAATAGATACGGTATGGTAATAGATACAGTATGGTAATATATACAGTATAATAATAGATACGGTATGGTAATAGATACAGTATGCCAATATATACGGTATGGTAATAGATACAGTATGGCAATAGATACAGTATGACAATATATACAGTATGGCAATAAATACAGTATGGTAATAGATAAAGTCACGTTATATATACAGTATGGTAATATATACACTATGACAATAGATACAGTATGGCAATAGATACAGTATGGTAATAGATACAGTGTGGTAATAGATAGAGTATGGTAATAGATACAGTATGGTAATATATACAGTATGGCAATATATACAGTATGGTAATAGATACAGTGTGGTAATAGATAGATTATGGTAATAGATACAGTATGGTAATAAATACAGTACGGCAATAGATACAGTGTGGAAATAGATACAGTGTGGCAATAGATACAGTTTGGTTATATATACAGTGTGGAAATAGATACTATGACAATATAATTATACAGTATCGTAAAAGATACAGTATGGTAATAGGTACAGTATGATAATAGGTACAGTATGGTAATAGATACAGTGTGGTAATAGATAGAGTATGGTAATAAATACAGTATGGTAATAAATACAGTACGGCAATAGATACAGTGTGGAAATAGATACAGTGTGGTTATTTATACAGTGTGGAAATAGATACAGTGTGGCAATAGATACAGTTTGATATGCCAAAAATGAATTACACTGACCATACAACTGTTTTATTATTCTAGACCTCATCGGTGATAATATAATCAAAAAGGTTGGAAGTCCAATTTGTTCTGATCTGCTGTTGAAACAAAAAGGGGAAGAAGCATAACAAAGTAAATGTTTGAAAATCTATACAAATGGATGGTTATTTGTTAATTTCAAGTCAAATACTGAGTGAAGTGAACGAGTAAAAACGCTGTCTAATTATAGTCGCCTTACGTCGAATCAGAACTATCCTAATCTCATGCAATCTTATTGTAAATTAATATCAAGATCTACTGAAGATAAATCGTTATTGTATCGTGTAGTACCAAATCTATTGAAAAAAATCAACACTTTTTTTTATATTTCTTATTAAATCACCTAACCAATTTCTATGATTATTTAGAATACTTTCTTTATGTTTTACCATATAGATGCCCAAGTAAGGAATGTTCCATATTTTCTTATTATATCTTCTTTTGTGCTTTGGCTATGCCGTGCCTTACAAATCGTCATTCAAGAAAATATTGGTTTTACAATAACTTTTGATATTAATACCTTTGTCGCTCCAATAGTAATCTATCAAAGTTTACTCATTATCTTAAATCATACACCATTCCTCCTTGACCTTAAATATTCTCTGATCCAGTCATTGTTTGAGATTCCATAAAACGCAAAGTGTTAACTATATCGATCCTCAAAATAATTCTGAATAAATACTTGTTGCTCAAATTTCCTGAAAAATTGAAAAGAATGGTAATAAGCTGGTGTATGAGCTTTCGTGTTGATTTCATTCAATGTGAGACTAATACATACTCACCATTCAATGTGAGACTAATACATACTCACCATTCAATGTGAGACTAATACATACTCACCATTCAATGTGAGACTAATACATACTCACCATTCAATGTGAGACTAATACATACTCACCATTCAATGTGAGACTAATACATACTCACCATTCAATGTGAGACTAATACATACTCACCATTCAATGTGAGACTAATACATACTCACCATTCAATGTGAGACTAATACATACTCACCATTCAATGTGAGACTAATACATACTCACCATTCAATGTGAGACTAATACATACTCACCATTCAATGTGAGACTAATAAATACTCACCATTCAATGTGAGACTAATACATACTCACCATTCAATGTGAGACTAATAAATACTCACCATTCAATGTGAGACTAATACATACTCACCATTCAATGTGAGACTAATACCTACTCACCATTCAATGTGGGACTAATAAATATTCAATCACATTAACTATTCCATTATGAGTCAGCTTCCTGTTACTCCTTTCATGTTAAGATATTAGGGTTCCAGTAGATATCTTTTATCAAATTTATTTTGATATATATTGTTCAAGTCGAAGCACACATTTGTCAACAAGCTTCTGTATCTCTGTATAACCTTATACATTTTATAAGGTTATAACTTTTTAGACTCTGCTTTCACATTATATGAGTAGAATATTGATTTTACATTATTTCCATCAAAAATTTTCTGAAAATAAATTAGCTGGTCATCTATTGCAATGTACTAACCATAAATCTGTATCAGGAATATCACTGATATTATAAGGAATATAGACCGGGAGACACTATTGCGGTTTTTATAACTGAAGGTTTTTGGGTAGTAATGTCAGATCTGTAACCATTGTCAATACTTTTATCACATTTAAAAAAATCCCAGACAATAAATGTTAATCTATCATGATTTAATGGACCATTTAAGCATAATCCTCTATAATATATCAACTACATCTGAATTCTCTATTTTTTTTCTAAAATCCTTTCCCTTAGCTTTGAATCGTTAATAACTATTGTTTTATTATATTCTAATTAAGGATTGAGTATCAGGTTGGAGCCAGCTTAGATTATAGATTTAATAGTCATGTGTAATTATGACATTTTTTTTCTATTCTTCATCAGCTGTCCGGTGTTCCAGGAGAGTTGTGCTTCAGCCTGAATTACCTTCCAAACATGGACAAACTCAAGGTACTCATTCTCAGTGCAAGAAAATTACGCCAGCTCTGTTTCGACAAGGACTCTGGTAAGTCTGCAGATCATCATAGCGTTCTGTTATATTTTTGAAAATTTCATCTCGCATTACCATATATTCCAAGGAAATATATATGCAGACTTCAAACGTTTTGACTCTGGATATACGTTTTCTTCATATACGGTTGAATATTTAAGTAGTCTACTCTTAAATGTTGGTCTGATTTAGAAACAAGCGTATCTACTCTCAAGTAAAAGAAAAACAATCTATATAATTGCACAGATTAAGCTTTTATTTGTACACATACACTAAACTAATATTAATTTTCAAATTATGCAGAATCATTGCTTAAAATCTTCTACTAAGTAAATAGACCAGTTATGATATTGCAACATAGAGCCGAAAAATATATTTGTCTGAACATTAAAAACACACTTTGTGATATGCAAATAATGGAGAACGTATGATGTCATATTGTTTGTGATTCATACAGGGACATACGTGCGGATCAACATGATGCATGGACGAAAACTGCACAAGGTGAAAAGGACCGCCACCTACCGCGCCACCACCGACCCCACCTTCAACGAATCTTTCTCATTTTCTCTAGTCGGCAAGGTCCTTGACTCTTGCAGCTTCGAAATATGCGTCATGACGTCATCAAGGTCGCCGCGAAGTCATGACGACGTCTATGGCAAGGTTGTGGTTGGTTCTTTCATGTTTTCCCGTGGTAATGAACTATTACATTGGCAACAAATGATGTCTCAGCCACGCACACCGGTGCAGAGATGGCACACACTCACCGGTAACGGCAATGGTCACTGATAGGGCTAAAGACAGCAAATAATCCAGCAACGATCCATTCAGGTTCAGGTACTCCATATCTACGATACAGTGAACCCAACATTTTCGATTCCTACGCAAACTCTCACTGACGAAAATGCGTGCTTTTCTAGCGCCGTACACCTAATCAAGGGAGACAAACACCCTGGATATAGTAACTGACGCCGACTGAAGTATGGTGATATTGAAACAATGATCAATTGATCAAATTCAAAGTAGACGAATCGCTTCCAATAGCGACGAGTTTACAAAGAAGTTATGTCACAAATAAGTTGAAGTCGTGCAAATCAGCTGAATAACTGAACGGTTAATTGAACAAGAAAGTATCCACGGTATGTTGTCAGAATACACAAGTTCTTAAATTGATCTGATGCTCTATATGCCCACTGACGGCGCACTATATGTTTCCAAAGTTATAATTTCCTATGGGAGAAAGTCGGTATGTGATGGACGGATATTCTGAATTTGCCTCCGACATACACGGATAGGCCATGAAGCATATTAATAACGATAACAATACACAGTCTCACCTTTTTAGTACAAATTGTAGAAGGATGCCATACAAAACAACATTCAAAAGTCTGTATCAAATTTACGTACTCTGCTTTAATCGGGACATTGCTGGCTATAATACAGAATAAGCATATTATGTAACTGACAGATTATCAAACATAAGTAATCTGATTGGAATTGGATTGGTTAAAATGGTTGGGGCGGGGAGTAGCGTAGAATGAATGACAACGTACTAAATGATATCGGTACACGAAAGCTATTTAACGTACTTAATGACCTTGGCGCATGGAACATTTAAGATGACATCGGTACTTGTAACCAGTCAGGTAGCAGATTGTTACAACTAGTAAGCTAAACTATTGTAGTGGTTTACAAAACTGTTACTTTGTGTTAATTCTATCGTTTCTGTATTCTATTTCAAGACCATATAAGAAATAGTACTTCAAATTGTATATCATATGTGTTAAACCGAGTTTATTATATTTAATATAAAACATATATTTATATATACATATCAAATATATATATTAGATAAAGCATAATATGCATGTTTTATTTGTCTAAATGATTTGAAAAACAAGTTGAAAAAACAAGAAAAAATACCGAGGTGACAACAAAATCATAATTCTAACTCCAAATCGATAAAACTAGGGCAAAATATTAATAAAGGAAAGACTTACACGGAGATCCATGAAAAAAGTTCCAGGATAATTAGACCAGGTGGTCCGAAAAGGGAAGCGTCTTCTGCTTCATCGACGACGCCCGCCATGTAAATCTCAGTCGGATCCATGTTATGATACGTCTTAACATCAATAACACAATATCGTCCTCAGTATTCTCAAAAAATGTATAGCTCCAAAATAATTTACAATCATGTATTCATGAAGTCGTAAGTCTTTCTTTGAAAAGAAAGCTCTCATAACAAGAGAACGTTGGCGTTCTCTCAGTTTGGTATGGTGAAGGGTAGTGTTAAGGGTCGAAAAGTCAAAATTTGATAGCAGAAACAGTGTTGAAGGCGGTTGTTTAAGGTCGATCAAAAGAAGCTTTCGATTGTTCAAAATCCACCGTTTATTCCACTTCTTGAGTATACAGAATCACAAAACGACTGCAACCCTGATTTAATGGTATTGCGAACGGTAGTGAGAAATTTGGAAAATGACTGGTTGAGCATCTAGAAGAGCCAGCAATCAAACGTTGTTTATAAGGAATCTTGTGAAGTTTTGCCGTCCAATACAAACGAGGCAGCTATATATCCGTATCGTTACTGGGTATTCCGAAAGACTGTTTTGTTTTTCGAAAATTGGAAAATGTTTGGGCAGAGTTGCCCTATTTATCTAGCATACCTATTTCTTTCTGCAAGCTGGTAATGTAAAAGTGTTTGCAATGATTAAGTCGTGATATGCTATGTCTGCAGACACAACTACATACCTATTATGCGGATCGTTGCGTGTGGTTTAGAGTCAAGAAATGTAAACTTGTGATTTGTTTTATATTTGATATTTCAAGCATAGATTTCTTTTTTGAATGATGGACCTAATGGATTTAACCGACTCTGAAAGTGAATCCAAATTATTTTAATAGGTTAAAAGTATATTATTACGGCTGTAACATTTGAAAATGCATCTAACTATTTTTCATAATGATAAAAATATATCTGACGTCATCTGTCGACTTTATTACGCTACAAATCGTTTCCCTTCCTGACCACAGGTATCACCGTATAACACCATTAGTGATTTGTCACAGCTTTTCGTTCGTATTTATCACAAGTTACTAAAATACCCTTCATATTTTGTCATCATGTAACATTTGCTTCCACAGCATATCACTTTTTAATATTCACATGAAGTATTCTCTACCCCAAATCATGATTCACCTTTTCACCATACTGCATTACAAATCACTGCAGCTCCTGACTTCACATGCAAACTTTGACAGGCGTCAGATAACGCCACGTCTTGGCTTCATGTAGCGCCTGTTCTAATGCATTATTTTCTATAATTACTGTCTTCACGCATTGTTTTGATCATCTTACCACCGAGTAACTGTAGCTGACTTCATGTGTCACCATTGTTCCGATACAGATCACATATTCTTGTTCCACTACAGATCACATGCAATTCCCTACCTACAAACAATGTGTTGCTTTATTTTTGTGATCTATCGATATGGTTTAGGGGTTATACCTCGAGCCTTCATGTACAACCATCTCGCAACTCTGTACGAGATGTAAGGCAGTTTCATAAAAACAAGCTTACACAATATTCAATATACTTTAGTACTTTTTACTGTGAATTTTGTTGATGACAATATTAAGTTAAACAATAAAACATATTCAAACAATGCATTTAAAACAGAAAATTAAAGACTGCTTCATAAGAGGGTTGTCTCTGTGAGTACATAACCACATATTAAGGACAAGGAAATTACATTTAGACAATCATTATTATCTACACAGAAAATGCAAACACCAATAATAATATAAAAATACATTTTAATGAATCATGATAGACTACAATTAACGAGAGTGTATAACATTTATATTTAATCAAGTATAGAAACGATACATTACATATAACTTACACGTTATATCTCAACGCGCAACTTCATACGTACCAGTATTTAAAAGGTGTATCACTTTAATAAAACCATATGATGTACAATTAAATTAAAGCAATTCGGTGTAATCTGCATGAAAATAAACCATGTAAATAAATTAAATGTACCAGTACCGGTAGTTATTTCCAAATTATAAGTGATTTAATTAAACAACATTTAAGGCGATTTTTTCTTTTTGAGTGATGTTAGTCGCACAACTAGCACCACAATCACTTCTCATAACTCACAACTCATAAATCAACTCGCCACACCACGCACTACACCCAAACACACACCTACACACACGCTGTGGCACATTCATTAATTCTTTCATGCAAATATTCATTGAAGAGTCCAATGTCATATTAAAGTGCATATCACATTATTTAGTAACAAAAAGTGTCGATAGAGAAGTGGAACAAACGTTTGCTCTGATTGAGTGAAATCATTGGCAGTGACATGTAATATCAAAACGATGTCACCATTTCCTCCCCAGTATCCAAATCTAGGTCTTCAATGTTTGGATCACTACTTAAAGTCCCAGAAGGTGACGTATCTGAGAGAACGCTGTTGATGTCTGTCTCTGTAGTGTCCAGTGGTGTGTCATTCTTTAGTGACACCGATTGAGCTGATGTTTCTGCACCGACCAAAGATTCACCGGATATGTCCGTAGATCGGATTTTCTCTCTGCTAACTGACGAAGTGTCCTTGTCGAGGTCGAGGTCGCCGTCATCCGTATCCCCAGTGTCCATGTCAATGTGTAATGTCACTTTCTGCTGATTACCCACAGTAGTTTTTGGTTGTGGTGGAAACAATAACTTACGTTCTGTACCACTACTACTGGGCCCTGGCGCAACCTGCTTATACTGCTCTGGCTCTACCCTCTTTTCTGTTAAATCTGTATCGGGATATACCTCGGTGCCAGGGGACTCGTTGTCATCAACGTTACTTGAGCTGGAGGAATCATTCTCTACTCCACTGTCTGCACCATTCGTCACCGGATGCTCGTGTACAAACGCTTCGTTATCAAAGTCCATCCTCAATTCCTGAGACTCGTAAAGCATAGTCCTCTTTGTGTTCGCTGCCAGTCCAGAAGGTGTGTTGACACTATAAAATATATGAAATTATTTAATTTCTGTGCTAATTAAATGTTAGGCATTTTTGTAGTTTCGATCGTTAGTTTTCGGTCTAAATCATTTATCAGTTCGTCGATGACAAATCCACTGTGTAAACATGCTAGACTGAACCTGGTCCAAGTTTAAAGTAGACATTAAAGAGCATTTAATTGTACCTTTTATGTCGTAAATAGATGTAATCAACATAAATTTGTATATTATGGAATATCTCATTAGAAAAGGTTTGGAAAAAGTTTTACTCAGTTCGAGGCGGCTTTCGTTGATTAACATATTTACAAAACAAAACATATTATTTTAAACAAATATACGGTCCAGCATCAAACTCCAACTAAAATGTATATTGGAAACCTAAATTTGATCACAACTGAACAAGTTCAACCGTTTCCTTGCCAGAAGTACTTTTTCTCTCTCATCAAAATATCACTACCACCCCATTTAACATATTAAAAATTGCTTTCATTGAGGATTATTTTCGTAATAACTCAATGAAAGACAAGCGTCTTTTTCGTGGATGCATACTACAAAATCCCAAACAATGGATACGTCTTTCTTGTCATGTTCCTGTAACGTCTCTCAGGATTACAAGTGTATCCGAGATTCAGCTAGGCGAAATCGGTGCACGGATTTACTCAGTACATTCCAGTCCCAAAACTGTGGTTTCTTATTAAGTGTTAAAAATCACTTTCGAATAGTTAATCGGATATTTTGATATCTGTGGTTTTCAATCTCTGAAGTGCAAAAGATATTACTGTCTATAACTTGTAATATCATATTATAATAACAATTTTTGGGTGGTTGAATAACACATTTGCAAATAAAGCACAGGAGAACGACAAAACAAAGACATACCCAAGCCTGCACACAAATACATACATATAAAGGTATCACAGCTAGATAAAAACACTTATATACATTACAAACACATACCAACACACAAATACATACAGTTCAAGGTATCATAGCTAGATAACAACACTAATATACATTACAAACACATACCAACACACTTCGTAAACTTATGGATATGGTTAAAATCATTAAACACGTGCGTTACACTAAGGTGCTAATAAGAGCTATATTCGAAAAAAATGTAAACTGTCAAATATCAAATGTCCATGCCAGATTGTTTGACTGGGAATCTAAAGGTCAAACACACGCATCCTAATCTAAACTGAAGTAAATAGTACAGTGAACCTCTAAACTTATGCAAAGATCAGGTCAAATATCAATAAATGAGATTTATTTTATTCGTTCTCATTTCACTTCAATGTACCGAAGAATGATTTATATAAGTTTATAAGCATATCACCATTCACATGTATTTTGTAAATCATTAGGAAACGAAACAAACGTATCGGGATTGTGCATAAATCCCAAATTGGGCGCAGTTCGATCGACTATAAGAAAGTTACAATGCTGGCACAGTTCTGCGTTGTAAGGAATATAAAGTCTAAGGAAAAGGTCATTTAAGCGTTATTGGGCAGTAGCCATAATCACTCAGGTTTAAGGATGGATGATTCGGTCAACGGTCAATCAATTTATGCTTTTTATTTATTAATGGTCAGTAATTCTCACTGTAGACTCTTCATCCTATACAAGTGTTGGAAAATAACGATAAATTGAATATGAGTTTTGTTCGCTGAAGGTCAATTTAGAAAATTAAAAAAATATTTAGACAAGCCACTCCAACTTAGAAAAATGCTTAACAAACAACTCTTTTTCGTTGACGAAACACAAAACTATGGGATTTGTTTTACCTTAAAATGATGAAATTTGTGTAAACATATCGTTTAAGACTTGGTACAAGTCCTTTTGTCCCTGTTTTCATTCGTTAACTTACTTATTTTATCAAACGGATGATTATGACAATTGTCTATTTAACGATGCATATTGGTACATTAAAATATCAACAGATCTCAATTATTGACGATCAAAAAACCAAAATAGAGCAAAATAACAAAGTCAATTCATCTGTTCAACCCCTGGTATCACCATGAATAAAACCGTTGAATTGTAAAATGGTTAACAGAGTCAGACAACACACGTTTCCATCCCCACCCATTTGCGCTCTATCTTCTTAAGTAAAGTCATCAACATGAAATATGGATAACGAAAAAAGAATACTATAATACAATACAGATTAATAACTAGTTTGGTTCGGTAATTTAACTCAAAAGTTAATAGCATCATATGCATGCATATATGATGTATGAAAGGAGGTACTAGTGACGGTATTACAACAACAATGCCCGAATGGGATTACCTGCCTCAGTAGTATGGCACTCTGTAGGAACTAACGGAATCCACATTTCAATGGCATACAACAGAATAGTTGACAACAGCTAGTGACCACAGGTCAGATATTCCCTTACTTTTTACAATTTTCACAATCATCTATATCACAATCTGACTCTAATCTTGATTTGTTACGTACATGTATATGATCTGATAAATGTTTGTAGACCGAGAAAGTTATTGTTATACATTAAACGCTGGGATAAACCTATAGGTATACATTTTAACAAGTGCTACAGTCACGTTACGAAGGTACTACCTAACAATAAACGTGTACGGGTCTGTACATGCAATTGGATTTAATAGTGGCAGTGTTCATGGTGTATGGTGCAGTGAAATAAATTGTTGGCAAACTTTCAATAACTAACTTATGGAGGTGCAATCACACGTGTGTATCGTATGTTATCACTAAAAACAATTTATTATGTGCAACATTTCTTTAAAACAGACCATATAAGTACGTCATAAACTTAAATGAATTAATACATTTATATTTTCACACGATATGCCTTACATGATTTTAATAGCCCTAAGCTATAGACGAAACTTTGCAAAAAACGCACGCCTCAACGTTCACCTAAATCTCACCTATCATCTAAAGCTGAAAATGATGTCTCCATATTTGGGTTGATGGCAGCAACAGCGAGTTGACTTCCGACATCTGACCGAAGGCTTTCCAACTCCCACATTTTCACCTCCTGCTCCCTTGCTTCGTGGAATCTGAGAAATGAAAGTGACAAAATTGTGACACGATAGGACCTATGAGTGATTGAGCCTGTATTATTTTTTCTCCTTCAAGAAAGCCAGTCGATCATAATATTAACAAAGTTCATCAACTACTAGTATATTAGACTGGCTACCAGCCCCTAAGTTTTATGAAGAATTTATCAGCTGTATTTTACTACTAGCTTATCTCCCCCTAGTTTAGAAATCAGACATCCATGTGATCAAGGTTTTTAGAGTTAAAGTTGTTTTCTTAATTATTCAATATTCTAGAGACGGTGGCCAGTCTACTAGTATATCTAACAGTGTGATAACATTTTTTTCTACGCGATGTTTATCAACTTAAATGTAATTACTCCTTACACGATATAAATCTCTTCCTGTTTGTTAATTATTGAATAATACTTACTGTTTCCATATATGATTACCCGCGATGATCACAAGCAAGCATGCCACGAATATTAATACGGCTATTGTGAGAAGTGCGATTTCGGGAGCCGTCATTAGATTGGACGAGTGTTTGACGGTCGTAGTTTGGACGTAACAGGTGACATCTGTGCATTTAAACAGCCTAAATATGTCAGCAAACTTGGCACTGATGATGCTGAAACACATCAATAATCCACATTGTTTAACAGCATTTAAAAACAAAATGGTGATTTAACCAGCGTTAACCTATTTTTGTTATATATTTGTTTGTTGCAACATGCAGTATATAACGAAAAAGGGAGCGGTCTTTCCCGGTAATATGTTGACGTTTGACTAAATATATGCATTAACTTACTGATATACCATCTCCATAGGTATAAGATGAATTTATTATAGATGAAGGTGGTTCAACCTCTAGGTAGGTCTATAGGAATCGGATGAAGTAATATGTATGTAGGTGACTGACAGTCTGTGTAGGTAGCGAATGGCTCTATTTCGTGTGCAGGTGAATTAACTTTCTTAGGAAGAAGATTATTAGTTTATATGATTGAACTTCTCTGTGAAGCGGATGAATCTATTTCGTGGGCAGGTGATTGACAGCATTTATAGGTAGAGGATGAATCTATTTCGTGGGCAGGTGATTGACAGTATTTATAGGTAGAGGATGAATCTATTACGTGAGTAGGTTGTTGAACTTCCCTGTTGAAAACAAACGTCTGTTTTGTTGTGTTCAAACACATCTGTATTTTGTATGTAACAAAACGAGCACTATCTATTTTACCTAGCTACTCCTTGATGAAAAGACTATGGATGGTTCAGACATATACACCTGTATTATGTAACGTGAGATGATGTCGCCAACTTACCTACTCAGCTCCTCGTTAGAGAGAAGACGACCAGTGGTGCGATTGTTGGCGTAGAGTAGAAGATCTGTCCTGTCAACAAACGGCAAATAAATAAGGTGATGGTAATGAGACAAAAATGTAGAATATAGGTATAAGTGAACATAAATAAGACAGGTGAAATATATAAAAGATGAAGCTTTAATATTCCAGCCATTTTCGTCTTCGCTTAATGTGGTTAGACTTCGGATAATATTCTATAGAATATGACTAATGGAGTCTGTCCCTGCCTTGGGGTTGAACTAGAGGAATCTCAACCCGAGGTGGGAGTTTCTGAAGTTGCCAAACAAGAAGCTTGTCGAGTAAGTTGTTACCCTGCTGACCCTGTGTCGTAATACTTATTCCGTCTGACTCAACCCTAGGGTAAAACAAGGATACCTCACACCGGGTAAAAGGGTTTATAGATTTGTCCCTGTTTAGAGAAACACGTTTCTCTTACCCTGGACAGGTGCATTTGCACTTTTACTGGTGTGAAATTTCGATGTCTCACCCTAGGGTTCAGACGGGGGGATTCCCCTATTCATAACAATGGTATGACGTCACTTCCACAATACAAAAACGTCACGTCAACACTGAATTTAGCATGTAACGTTATCATTACATTGTGTATATAATACACAATGGGACAACAGGGTTAGAGAAAAAGAATCATTCACCCCCTTGTGATAAGATAGGTGAATCTCAACCCTCGGGGGAAGATTTATAAGTTGCCAAACAAGAGGCTTTTACTTGTAAAAGTCGCTGCATAATATGACAAGTAGGCTAGTTATTGCTGTATAAACGAAACTTGATTGTACTATAACGTCTATATCAACGACAAATCAGAACGGAAAGTCGATGCAAGCAACAAACATTATATAATAATTCCTCGTCATGCTGAAATATCCTTGCATTCAACTTCAGTTACTTGGGTATTATGCTATACTGCAAACATGTACCTTTCTATTCGAGCGTTGGAATGCTGTCATATATATCCATAGTCGATATATTCTACGTTTTACATATACTTTTTTTTTAATATTTCAATAATATTGTAATACTATAGAAAAACACATTCTTAAATATTAACCATTTTGTTAAAAAAACAAGGTATAAATCAGTAACAAGGATAAATTCAAATGAGTACCAAACGTGAAAAGAGTCCATAACTGTCGAGAAAGACATGGTTTAATACCATAAAACAAGTGTAGAGCTGCCGAATCGTTATTGGTAATTTGCATTATGCTCTGATAGAGTTTCTGTTTCGTTTTGAAAGTATTTTGGGCAAACTTTGAAAATGATAGAGAAATACTTGAACCTACGACTCACAGGTATAGTCATCTAAAGTCAGCGGTAAACGAAATCTTTGTTGAACTAAGATAGTAGCGACAGGTCATCGCGGATATTTAATACAGGCATGACAAGTTAGACAAACACATTACCTCAATTACATGATATTATGTTATGGACGTACTTGTCTGGCTCTACCTCCGTAGAGATGTGTGCTTTATATCCCTCCACCGTGATGTTTACTCCCAGTATTGAACTCAAGTTCCTACAAAAAGCAAAATTGCGAACTTTCAGTCATCACACGTGGTGTGGTTAGCCAATTGATGTAGTGTTATTATATATTTCGTGTACATTAAGATCGGATTTTTCTTCAAAGAGTACAATAGCAAATGCTTACGCAATTAAGGCTTGCTTCTGTTTCTCAAATTCTTGCGGCGCCATCGGGATCACATATGTTAGTCTGTCAGCGTCCGGTATTGTTATAATCTGAAACAAACACTAACACGTGTAACACGTAACATCTACAGGGTAAAACGTTTGAAAGAAATTCCATAAATTCGCATGAAAAGTTTGCAGAGATTTATTGAAGAACAAGATTCATGGAAGCAGAAATGACGTCACAAATGACGTCAAACGTTTCATTTTGATGCAATTTCCGTTCTGTGCAATATATATAACAATTTTCGAAACAACTTGATATTTCTTGCGTCTCAACGACTCAAGAAATGTTAGCACTCAAAAATAACTAACTAAGCAGCGCCTGCCAGGCCGATGAAGCCGACTGTGACACTCATACAGAAACAATTCGCACCAATTGCACAGGAATAAAAATGTTCTCGAAATCTTGCACAAATTAGTTTAAAACAGTATGTATGCATGTATTTAAAAAAAATAATTTATCTTAAAATAAATCGTTAAGCTTCCTAAATATTTTGTTCCTGTCAATATCATGTTAACATATTACACAGTTGTGCGGCGTTACTATTTGTCCGGTTAATGTCATGGTAAACAATGAAAACAGGTGACCTTGTTATGTTTTCCGAATAATGTTATTAATACAGAGAACAAAGTTGTGTTTTTTTTCGATTGGCTACCAGAGTTTTTTGTTTTGTATGTACAACTATCAATGCGCACAAAAATGTTATAACAGAATGACTTACCGTAATATTGACATAAGACGAGAGACCACCTTCGTCAGTGGCAGTCACCGTCAGTTTGTATGAGCGTAATTTTAACGAGCTCTTTAGCAGTATTCTGGTGTTATTGCCGCTTTCGAGGAAGAATGGAAGTGCGGTGCCGTTTACCAGACTGTATGTTATGGTGCTGGTATCGTCGGGGTCAAATGCCTGATAATAAATGCAATACATTACATGTCTTTTATTTAGAAGTGAATGATATCAGTGAAGGTATCACGTTTTATTTTCCTTGACGGCTTTAAGGTTATATATCACTCCCCTATGATATAGAAGGATAATCTTAACTAGAGTGATAGGTTTTTGAGCTTTGTGGCCGAATGCTGAACTTGAAACATCTTATTTCTAAAGTTGAAATATTTTCGTGTCTTCTTTACGCAGAAGTGATATATTTCATACACTTTCCTCAGTAAAAGGTATTCAGAGGTGTAATGAAGGACACATTGCACTGCATCGTAAAATGGCGCATAACATTGGCTATAACCATTATGAGGAGGTCTTATTATTAAACGATGACGCTGCATAATTACATAAAATTAATGACACGATCGAATTGTTAAGTTTTTAGCTGTAGGACGATCAAAACAAATTTATCTTTTCATTAATAAAAAAAAGGAAATAGACAGACAGACAGACAGACAGACTGAAAACATACTATTTCTAGCGGTTCATGGTAGAACCATATCTTTATATGCTTGGTACAAACTGTATATGCCTGGTACAAAGTTAAGCGTTTACCTTTAAACTTGAAACTGATGAGCTATTGATTTATGTTGTGAAAATATATTTTTCAGATACCTGTTTCCATTAGCACCAGAACATGTATGAACAAATGTTAATCTGATGACGTTACATGCAAGCGATTGCTAAAAAAACACCTACCTGTAGCTCAGCAACTTTTCCCGCCAGTTGCAGATTGACTGGTACACGATAAATGAGTTTAGTATCGGCGGCAAAGTGGGGAGGGTTATCATTCACGTCCCCGACCCTGACTGTTACAGTTACTTGTCCCAAAGACTCTGTAACATCGGGGAAAGGCAGCATATAACTGGACAACATGTAGCCAAGCAAAGTCATTATTGTTCATTAAACTAACTATCATGTATCACAATAACATTGGTTATATTCCAATAGTATTTAATTATATGTGTGATAAATCTTCGTTTTGGTGAATGCAATCCTTTCATTTGTAAAAACAAATAATTTTTGAAATATATGTCTTTGGAAAATAGATAAAACATCAATAGATATTGCACATGCTACAGAAACAAATCCAAGATTTCAACACGTAAAGCATATTTTTTCGGAAAAAATGTGATCAAGGCAATTCCTTCCAGTTCTAGCTTGCACTGATTTTTTATGTTTCTCTAGAGCTCGACGTCTTCCTACTAGTCAGATATGCTCAATGTGTACTATCAAGTTACAAATTAGAGATGCCGACATCTATTTTCAATATCAATTTAATAAACTAAACAAAAAATTGCCCTATGTATAGATTTCTGATCGCAAAGACATAATTCAAAGGAGGTACATTGAGAAATCATACTGAATCCTAAATGAATTGTGTAACTTCTTCGTATACAGTGTAATACGTATATGTATATAAACGCTTCTAGAAATGTTTCTGAGTGATTGTTTAAAAAATGAAAATAAATAAATAAAGTAAAGTTGCCGTATGATCGTTGATTGAGACACGGAAGCACATTTCATTAGCGTTTAATTTTGGAGGAAATTTTTTTGTGTGTAAATTGAATTTGAATGAATAGCTGTTAATTAAAAGGAAGCTGTGGTTTTAATGTCCATACGTGTGAGCCTTGTATAACGTTATATTACCACCAATAGATCGCCTCGACCTTCCGCTACTACGGATGACCTCGGCAGACACATAAAGAGTGTACGTTTCTGCTAACTCCCGGTCAAGTTTTCTGAGGCAGTATATTTCACCAGTCGTTTCGTTCACCGCAAACGTATTACTCGTCTCTGTAAAAAAATATACCAATGTGTTAACGAAGTATTCATCTCCTTCACGAATAGGAGCCGACTTCAAATATAAATTCAAAGACTCTACAAAACTTTATATAGATAGTTTGCTGTATCTCACAAGAATAATGAATATAATGTATGTGTACCCAATACCATGACAACAGATAATTGGCTCAGTATTCAATCTTTTACATTATTTTACGTTGCTTTGATTGCACTACTTTAAGACTGCAATAATCACTCTACCAACTGAGAAGGAAATATTGAGTTGTTAATCATCTACAATATAAAGATGAAAACAATTATGCGGTATGTACGCTACATTGTTGTGAACGACTTGTACATGTGATGTTTCGTACAAGTCAATCACACGCATGTTTCGTCAGAAAATTATCTTTGTTTGAACATTTCCGTAGCGTTACCGGCAATCCTATCTCTGACTGACCTTCCGGTTGAACTGATATGAGAGTGTAATGCACGGGGTACCCCGCCAGTTCCTCGGTAGTGTTGAGATCTAACAACAGGCCACCCAGTTGGTTTTCCTGGACATCAGTCGTAAAATGACTTTTAATGAAGCTTGCAGGTTCATTCCGTAAGTGAATCACAACCTGTGTGAAACAAAATTGGTACATCAAACTGGTAGTCTTAATGCATTTGTGTTGTCAATGATATTTCATACTGTCACCAGTACGATCTGATTAACAAAACTATAACAATATCGTGCTTCATTTTGCCAAATGCGTTCCGCTGGTAACAATTGTATAGCAAAGTCAAACGTACCACAGCCGTGTCTGTCAAGTTGTCATCCTCCGCAAGTACTTCCAGAACGTAAGTGGACTTTTTAGAGTCCATCACCTTACAGAGGGATATAACACCACTGGAGTTGTCAATACAGAACGTTTCTAGGCCATCTAAACAAAAAACACACGTTACGCTTACACAACTGTGGGGTTAAAGTGTTTTTACATAATTGACTGCAATTCTTTACAATATAATAAGTTCTCTTCAAGCTAATATATGTTAAATGTGTCATGCAAACCTAATAAAAAACATTTATCACAATGGAACGATAAGTACCAGAAATGGTGTATGTGATGCCAGCATCTCCTGCCGTCTCGTTCAGTATTACGGAGTGTACAGGTGTGAAAGGTGACGTGTATATGTTGTACAGACGTCTCTTGAAATGAGGGGCCGTGTCCGGTACGTCAACAACAGTTACAATCAAGGATACGTTGGAGCTACGCATGGGGGATCCCAGATCATGTGCCACCACTGTCAAATGGTACGTGCTCATGGTCTCAAAATCAGTCATCCCGGACTTCCAAATGGTCCCGTCTATTGTACGAAAAGTGCAAATAAATCAATATTTATATCCTACTGTCCCTACACACAATAGCAAAATCAGAATCAATCAGCTTGGGATAGTCCACAGTAACGGTGGAGATATCCAAATACTTAGTATAGGGGAAGTCTCAAAGAAACGACGTAAGCTATACGTTGGGAACAAAGATTCGCCGGCAATACCGGTTGAAATAAGTTGGCTTAAAACCTACCTGTTGGGTTAATGTAGAACGGAATGTTTTCCTCTTGGATACTGTATACAACAGTCCCGTTATCACCTAAGTCGTCATCCGTCGCCGATACGTTACAGACCTGTAAAGAAATCAAGTTCAATGTCATTGATTTCACTTCGTTATACCTTAGCCCTCCATATATATAAGTACTGTGACCTTGATGCGGAAAACAAATTATTGGAAATTGTTCCATATAATAATAATAATAATAATATACAACATGTATATAGCGCCCTATATAATTTGTAAAATTACTCCAAAGCGCTTTACAACATATGTGAAACAAAAACAAAGGCTTACAATCACTTTTATACATTTAAGCAAGCAGATAGATACATGTAGCAGATATGAATGAAGTTAGTTGTTAGCATCACTTCATTATTAGTAGTGGATTTGAAATGTCAATCATTGTTCAACATCCATTATAATTTTTTTATGAAGTCTCAAGAATATAATACAATATGTTCACCGCTACTAGCACTTAGTACACAAAATACCTGCTGGAAGGCCGCGTTCTCTAACACAGAGCATGTGTAGTTAGTACGTTGGAACTGTGGCGAATTGTCATTGATGTCGTTAATCTCTACCTCGACAAAGGTTGTAGTGTTCAGAGGCGGCAATCCACTGTCCGCAGCCTGGAACAGAGTTGTAACTGTGTTACGGGTCACTATAGTGGTTAACCATTCATGGAATACATGAAAACGATATCGGTATATGCGATATAATGATAAAATAGATAACTTCCAAAATGGCCAAGGATACTCAAGTGTGTTGTTTTCAATAGCCCTACATATTTAGCGAAACGAAAGTAATTTTTGATTTTTTTATGAAAATAAAACACGTGGGTCTTACCTGCACTATGAGGTTGAAGTTTTGGTTTGTTTCCCTGTCCAATGTCCCGTTAATTATAAGATTACCGGTCGTGTCGTTGACACCGAATATATCACCTAAAATACAAACAGTACATTATTGTTTAATGGTTTATGTACAAAAAATATTAATTCTACCTTCGCTCCATCTGCTGCTGAACAGAAAATCTGCGGCAGCGAATAGAAAATACCACTTTGATTTGTTAATATAAAATCATAACTGAAACTTTTGTCATCACATGGGATCACATAACATAAAGGATATCTTCAACGCAGTGGGGTTAAGATGTATTTTTATAATTTCCGCTATTTAACTGTTAAAACTGTACGTAGAATGAATAAACACATAAATGTATAGCTACATAGACGGTAATATACCATACATCAATTCATACCAGTAAAGCAAACGTTTATGCAAGATAAAATATATACATGTACACTTGCATCATATGTAGACTTAAAGTTCGACATAAAAGTATACACGTATAGTAACGTAGACTGTAATGTACTATATACATATTTACCCGTATAGTGCACGGTAATATACGATAGCTTTACTGTAAACTTACATTGTTCATAACGTTATACAGTTGTGGGACCGCATAACGCACCAAAAATAGCGTGCGCACACCGTGCATACATCGTTCACACACTGTCCGCACATCATCCACATATGGTGCGCACAACTGTGCGATTTAGCAATCGTTCGCCCCGTTGTGCGCTTCTCTCCGCACAACTGTGCGATTTGGTATCAGTTGAAGATCAAAAATACGGAATGACAAAAATACGGAAGGCTTGTATGCGATAATGTACACTGTGTATATATCTGTAATTTCTCATCACAATAATCAAGATTATACAATTTCACAATGCGTGTTTTACAGTTCTACAGCGACCGTTAGACTGTCAAGAATGGGTTTGGCTCCAAGGTAACAGAACAGGTAAATAACAATTTGATGAGTGTCCGGAGTTTTACCTGACCAGTGCCTGACACACAGAGCTGATATGCGATACCGTTTGACCGTAATGAATAGTATTTGTTATTTGCATTCGTTTGCCTATAGCTCCACTTCACCTGGATTTTAACCCCCCCCCCGGCCTTACCCGACGAGTTACGTAAGTGCCCCAGGCGGGGGGAAACTACGGTCCAGGAACATGTACAAAGTGATTATGTTTACCTGTATACGGGATTGTGTTGTAATTTTACATGTGTCGATTACGTTTGTTTAAAAACACAGAAAACACAATTTCTAAATATAAGAATGTATAGACAGAAAGATAAGTTTATAGATGTTGCTGGAATATAATTATATGTTTAAACACGAAACCGTATAAATTGTTAAGGCATTCCTCAATTTACACCAACCACGATTGCTATCGCACAACGTTCGTCCATCGTGCACACAGATGGGCGCAAGCAATGATCGTCCAGCTTTTTATCGTTCGCCCATCGTGCACACACCGTTCACACACCGTGCACACATCGAGCGCACACCGCACATCGTGTAACGTTGTGCGATCCCACAACTGTAGTACGATCCCACAACTGTAGTACGATAAAAGATTATACCTGTATAGTTAAGTAGACTGTAATGTATTATAGCATTGCATCCAGCGTCTTTGTCTATCGCTGAAACAGCCTCTATATCTAGTATGACGTCGATACCTTCTGTTACAGTAAAGACGTATGGCAGAAACTGAAACTGTGGCGCGTTGTCATTAACGTCTGTCACGTGAATGTTGACCTGTAACATTTAAAATGAGCGTCCTCCTGAAATAACTGCCACATTGTATATTATATATCACTCAGTATAGCAATAGGTAAGTATGATTAAAAAAATACAGCTTACAAATGATGTGTAGGGCATCAAACAAAAGTAGAACATATTACAAACAAAAGATATTCAACATTTAAATTATTCAAATCAATCAATCTGATTAGAAATGCTTTAATATTGTCCAAATGGACAACGAGTTTTGTTCGATATACATTTATATAATAGCTGACACTTATCGTATATGACAAACCATTGTAAAAGCGGTTCTCTCTGGAGTTTTCCCATCCGTCACTTGCACAGCGAAGGTGTGTGATTCACTCTCCTCCCGATCTAGTGTGCTATTTAGTGTAATGTTCCCCTGTAGACAGATATCAAAAGATTGTACACAGTTTCGCCAATGTTAAAACTATTTATGATATAAATAAATGTGGCCGATGTGAGCTCAAACCGTTTTTATTGTGTTTTCCTTGGAATGAACAAGAGTGAGAAGTTACCATTGAGTGAGAATTAATCATTTTTAGAATGATCATAAATATTATGAATATAAAATCCGGAAACGAACATGTGCTTATTCCTAATCCACCCTTAAAATAATATATATTACATGTATGGTTTATTAAGCTTTACTGATTCCTACCACACGTGTCAGTTTGTTGGTACTGTAGATATGACAATGGACAGGCAAATTGGCAATTTCTATTTAATACTCACGTATTCCTTGGAAAGTATTATATAGCCGGGAAGGACAAGGACGAATGCAAAAGGTGTATGTAAGAGAGTTATTAACATTTACAGAATCCTTAAAATGTATCAGGAGGTAACATGAAATGACTAGGAGGTACATGTACGACGAGGGAGTATGTCAGATCGAGGTTGGTGTTAAATACTCACCGAGGCCTTGTCAAGTACCAGTATGTGAGTGGGTATGACGAGAGAGTATGTCAGGTGGTAACTTGTAACGTTTGGCATCATCGCAGTCACCACTCCCACATATGACCCTTCACAAAGGTAAGCAAAGATCAGGAATAAAAAAAAATCATTTCGGATCGAAATAATCATATCATTTACACAGAATACTTTTAATGGTTATTAATATATTCCGTATTTTTTTAAATGGATTGACCTGTATTGATGATGATGAATTTGTTGTCGTGTTATACTGTCTATCTATAACAGACAAATATAATGAGAACAAGTTGCTCAACTAAAATTTCAAAAATTAAAAATTTCAGGAAACCTTTACCTAATATTTTTTAAATAAGTAAGATTCCGCTTGTTTCCTGCACTGATAATTATATAAAATGTTGCATGTTGATATTTCGGATACAAAACGGAGTGTCAAAGAAATCAAAGACCTCATGATGTTATTCATACCATCAAATATATAAATAAACTACCAATCAATTCCGCTTTCGAAAATGTGATCGTTTCATTTCTACTTGTCATTCAATTGAATATGTTATTTTGCTATATTCTATGCTTTGCTGCAGTCTATAAATAGTATTTATTTTGTGTCAAATCTCAAAAGTTAATAATGATATTTTCTAAAGAAATAAACATAGCATATACCTACCATTAGCCATAGACTCGGGAACACTGAAGTCATACATAGCTTTGTCAAATACAGGGTTTTCGTCACTGATTTGCTCAACTGTCACATGCAGTGTCAGATTAGTACTTTTCGATGGATCTCCCTCGTCGGCCGCTTCGACCGCCAGCACTATGTCTATATAGTCTGTTGTATTTTTGTATCCTTTCCCCCCCCCTATCAAAGAGTTTATTTCGATTCTCTTTGCAATGGTGACAACACCGGTATTATAATTGCACTGAAACAGGTCACTTTCGATTCCAACAAGTCGGAAATGTACGAGGCTATTCTTGTCCAAATCTTTATCCTTGACATAAGGAAAAAAGACAGGCGAGTTAACTGGTGATTTTTCCAGTATAGATGTTCTATACTCAGTTATTGGTTTGTCCTGGGAATCATAGAATATCGGGAAATTGTCGTTAGTGTCCAGGACATGACATATCACCCTAACGCTGGAAGACAGAGACGGTGTCCCATGGTCGCGGACATATACCCGGAAAGTATATGTAGCGTTGGTCTCTCTATCCAGTGGTTTACTGGTATTCAGAATTCCATCTTCCGAAACCGCAAATATCGAATAGTCGGAATCTGCAATAATGATGTTACACATTCAACATGAAACCTGGGATGCAAGAAAAACAAAACGAAACAAACAAAAAGAATGCCGAAGCGTAAACAGAACCTTAAGTCAGGACAAAGGAAGACAAAACAAGACAATGAATATTAGATTATGCAACTTTAACAAATTATCTGCTTTAGAGGACTTCATAATTGCTATCATATTATATTTACATTACTATAATTGTATTGCACTCGGAAAGATAAATATCGTTCACAAACGATTAACAGCTGATGCTTAGTTAATAACACGTACCGTTTTTATTAATGAAATAAGACAGACGGGAGTTTTCTCCCAAGTCAGCATCGTGAGCTGTAAACTTGTATATCCCTGGAAGGCTGGTGTTGCTTTCGGTGACGTTTATGAAAACTGGGCTAGACGGGAATACTGGGGCATTGTCGTTTGTGTCCCCCAGTATGATCTCGACTATCGTTAGGGCAAAGTTCCGGCCATCTGATGCTCGAATTATTAGGGTGTAGTTGGCTTTCTGCTCACGGTCTAGTCCTCCAGTTACTTTTATATCACCTGAATTATTTCGTGAGAAAGTAGGGTTTAAGACTATCACTAGATTCACGTTTTTTATGCAAATTGTTTATAACGGATACATACTATTTTTTCATATCTTGCTTTCAACAATATACAGCGAGGCTTTCAACAATATACAGCGAGTCTCAATTTGATGTTTACACGTTATGTTATTTTCAGTTACATTTGCTTACATTTTAAAAGAACCAGCAACACAGATACACGGCCGTTATAATCACATTGAATGCAATGTAACAGGTACTTAAACATTTGTTCTTTCTCAGTGAAAGTTTCAGATACCTACTTTACGCCTTGGCTATTTCAGACATGTCTGATTTACTAGAGTTGAAGAAAAAAACTGTTTTAAATCTTACACTTTGTACCTTACTCGTCTATTCTCTTACCTTGAATGGGGTCTATATAGAAGCGACCTTCACCTCCACTGTCGATATCATACCGTGTTGTCTCGTTGCCATTGATATCTGCGTCTGAACTATAAATAGTTCCGACAAGGTAGGAATTTGGAACACTCTCATTACACGTGAATACGGAAACGTTATGTGTGAATACGGGGGGTTCGTCGTTAGCATCATCCAATGTTATGATGAGAGACGTGGAATTATTTTTTCCGGAACCTAACTGGTCAATTGCCCACACCTGAAACGTAAAAGTTAAGTCAGAGAGTTAAAGTTAAAAAGTAAATTAGAAGACAAAATATACCACTTCCTCTGCATATAAGCACAAGTTTGGAATTCATTAGTTGATACCGAATCAGAACAAGAACCAGATAGAAACCAACAAAAGGGGTAACATTTAAAAAATGATTGAAAGATACGAATACGATCGATTAATAATTTCAGTTAGTGCTACCGATCCTGCATCTCAACCCATAAAAATAGCCAAACATGCGTATAAAAAGTTAAAATGACCGACATTTTCAATATGAAAATATGAACTAAACATATTTCTAATTTTCCAAAATTAACACGCGTATACGGGGATTAATCACTTAGACTCGACTGATAATGAAAGCATAGATCAGAAATCTATCACGCTGCTGGCTCTAGTGAAAAAGCTGCAATCAATTTCACATTAACAACTTTTCAAACGGAACATACAACCACTTAATGCTGTCGTCAATGCATCACAGTCAATTAGAAATAGGACTGATAACTTAATTCGATTGGGAAAATAAAGTAACAGTCCGAACGTAAAAATGACTTAATATATTATTACTAAGGATTGCAATACATATACTCATACAAGAAAATCTTTCATCAAATTCGTACAAGTAAACAATATATTGAATTCATAAAAGTGAATGGGTTTTATAATTTTTTCAAGCGTGTTTTACAAATTATGTGATAAGAAAATCCTGCATAAAATTCGAAAAAGAAAATTCTTTAACAAATCAATACATTATTTTCATATCAATACATTTTACATGGATTTAATAATAATAAATCCAACATATCAGTTCTTTATACATACAATACATTCAAGTTAATCCTACACACTATTTATACATACAATACATTCAAGTTAATCCTAAACACTATTTATACATACAATACATTCAAGTTAATCCTAAACACTATGTGTACATACATTACATTCAAGTTAATCCTAAACACTATTTATACATACAATACATTCAAGTTAATCCTAAACACTCTTTGTACATACAATGCATTCAAGTTAATCCTAAACACTATTTGTACATACAATACATTCAAGTTAATCCTAAACACTATTTGTACAAGTATGTTCATGCAATTCATACAAGGTAATTTTGCATACAATGCATATTTATACAGTTCAGTGGCACATACTCTCCCGAACATTCATACCATCTTAATCTGTGATTCGAGATATGTGAAAACGCTGATATAAATGCATACCGTCAAGTCATATGTGTCTTTTGTTTCACGATCAAGAGTGGCATTCTTGACAAAAATTCTCCCAGTTTTGTTTCTAATTTCGAATGGAGAATCAGTTGAGAGATAAAACACTATGCCATCTGTCCCGTTGTCCCCAGCATCAATATCACTGGCAAGGATTGCAGGATGCTGTAAAAAGGAGTACATAAATAAGGTTATTTAAATTTGGTTTTGTTCAAGTAACATGCATGTACGAAACTCATATGTACATATAAATAATTGAGTTAAATATTGATACTTAAAACACCGTTGTTATGTCATCCATTGTTTATTGGTGTTATACCCAGTAGCGTGTTGAGGTATCACCTATGGCTGTGAAATAAGTTACCTGTAGCAGAGCAATAATTTGACAGGGTTGTCTTATAAGTGACAACTTATTACACGGCTACAGGTTATTTATTGGACAGATGTGACATCACATTCTAGAGAAGAGATGGGCGGAGCTAAATTGGAGCAGTTCAGCTATATAAGTAAAAAGAAAATAACAAACACATGGATTTTTTAGTATAACATTAAATCAAAATATGAAATACCAGTGGTGTACTATCCTTAGGAATCCAAAACCAACTGCTAGAGTCCTAGCGGTGTATATATCCGTGGAATTCAACACATTCAAAATGCAATAGCTAGAGTAATAAAACAGCACGTTACTAGCAGTGTATAAATCCTTGGAAGTCAACACATTCAAATTTCAACAGCTAGAGCACTGTACCCGCGGTGTATATTATCCTTGGAATTCAACGTATTCTAAATTCAACAGCTACGGTACTGTACCGGCGGTGTATTTATCCTCTGAATTCAACACTATGAAAATCAACAGCTATACTTTCTATCTTTTGTGTATTTTTTTCCTTTTAAAATAGGGCTGAGAAATGTTGCTTTAATCGTAAAATTTGGCCCCATATGCTCCTTGCTCTTATCCAAAATGTCACTCAAGCAACTTGAAATAAAACTTGTTTCTCAAGCGTCGATAAATTTTGACTGAGTTATATAAATAACATCCTCAGTGTCAGAGAACATTGGGATATATGAACAGATTTCTATTTCAAAATACGTTACCACAGTCATTATAATGCATATTCCAACCTTACTTGGCTCTTTACATACGTAAATAAAGAATTTTTCCCCCCATGGGGAACCCCTGGGAAACCCACCAATCAGACGGCAGTATTCACGCACGTGATTAGACACGAAGCCATGCTTCCCACTTCATAATTCCTTCAGCCGGCCGTGTTTACGGACGTGTTTTGGTGTCTACGGGTTCCAACTACAACAGGCGTTGTTTGTACCCATACATTTACGTATCCTTTATAACTAGTTAACTTTATTTTGTTTTAATTAAGCTTTTTGCTTTATTTTGCGCCGTTTTGCGACCAGGCTCCGGCCACGTGTTCGCGTTTTTGACGGTTTGTTTACGTTGAGATGGAGACTCCTCCTTCTCAAAGGCGCTGTCCTGGGGGTCATTTTTTTGAGGCTTCCGACCCCCACCCTTACTGTCCTGGCTGTCGGTCTTGCTCTCTGGAGCAGCCGTGTGAAATTTGCCGTGCCTGGCAGCCGACTCCTACCGGTGGTTCTCCCCGCCCGCGAGGGCGTGCAGGTAAGTCGGGTAGGAGGGGCGGTAGGGGTGGGGCGAGGGCTAAAGCTAGGCCTAAGCCCTCGGAGAGCACCAGCGGAATTCCGACCTCTGTCGAGTCTTCCCTGGGGTTCGTGTCGGCGGTTTCGACCCGTACCGGGGCCGCTGGGAAACAATTTGTTTCTTTGGACCCGCACCTTTCTCTCACCCCGCCTTCCGTTTTGTCGGTCGACGTGGGTGAGGGTTTGGGCTCTGTCCCGGTCACCACGGTGACTAGGGGACAGGGGGGCGGCCTTCTCTCCCAATTTGTGGTGGGAGGGCAGGTGGCCCAACATTCCCTTGGGAATATTAAACAGGCCAGCCATGTTGTGTCAGCGGATGCTTCTGTTGGTGGCCTCCTGCCGGTCCGCTCCACTCCTGAGGGTGTTGGTGTTGTCGGAGACCGGCCCCCGGCAGTTTTGTCTGCTCCCGGGGTTCCTTGCATCCCTGATGTAGCCCCTGGCGTGGTGATGGCGTCTAGCACGCCGTCCACCACTGTGCAGCATTTGCTGCCCGGTCCGGTGGTTAGTGATGCTTCGGCCTCGCTAGCCTCGGCTGGATTTTACGGTGGTGTGAGCACTGGTGTAAAAACCTATGCTTCCAGCTCTATCCCTTGTGCCTCCTCCCCAGGTTTTCCTATGGTAGGTGCCAGCGCAGCTGCGTTTGGTTTTGCCGGTGCACGCTGCTCCCCTGGTGGGGCTTGTTTTACTGGCCCTACAGGTTTTGGCCCTGCTGTAGGTCAGTCTGGGTGGAGTTGGTCAGGTCAGCCAGGTGTGGCTTATGGCGGCGGGTGTGTAGGTGGCCCTAGGTTCCCTACCCCGCCCCCCCAAACCGGTCCTGCCTCCGGTTTCGGGCATCAGGTTGGTGGCTCTGTTCCAGGGTCCTCCCTGGTTTATCCCACCTATTTGCAGGGTTGGAATGGAGCTCATTGGGGTCAACAGGCTCCTTTTTATGCTCCGCCCCAACCACCGACCGCCTATGGAGTCTTGGCTTTTCCAGCCGCTCCCCCTCCACCCCAGGGTGGTATGGTTTTCCAGCCTGGATATGCCCCTCCCGCCTTCTTGCCTGCGGCGATGGGTCCCCCCCCCCCTCCATCCGCCACCGAGCCGTTCGCGTAAGCGTTCGCGCTCCCGACCAGCTTCTGCTGCCGGTTCTGTCAGGCAGAGACCGCGTGATGCTAGGGCTGCTGGTCGTGCTGCGTTGGCTCGAGCTCCTATCATTGAATTCGAGTCTACCAGTAACTTCCACTGTCCTGTGTCAACTCCTACCTTACAGCAGGTTCCAGGGAATCTTGGTCCTGCTCCTGCTGTCTCTCAGGGAGCCCCGATAGTTCCGTCGGGTAGGTCACGTTCTCTTTCCCCTCCTCGCACCCCTCCTCGGAGGGCGACGTTGATGGAGGTGGATTCGGCTCTCCCGGTTGCTCCAATTTTACGGAGACTCGGGATGAGGAAAGAGTCGGCGAGTTTACTGACTCTGATTTGGAGTCGTTGGATTCGTCTGGGTTGGACTCGGAAGGCCCTTCTGATGTGTCCCAATCCCGGCCCCGAGATGCTGATCCGGTGCCTCCAGAGGTTTCGGCTTCGTTTCGCACTTTACGTGCAGAAGTTATGATGCTTCTGGGGGACGGGGTTTGCCCATGCCCTTCCACGGATTCGGCCGTCCCGGAGCGCACTTCGCTCCTTCAGAGCATCTTGCCTCCCCTAGCATCTGCCTCCTCGGCTTCTGCTAGGTCTCTTGCGGAGGGACGAGGCGTGGCTTCGTCCCTCGCTCAGGTCAACGCTTTATTAAAGCAGAAGGTGAGCAAGGCTCGCAAGCCTTTTTCCCTCTCGGCTTTACAGGTCGTGGTTGCCGACATCGCAGATTTAGCTGCAGATACGTACCGCATCCACGACCCAGTCTTGGCCCCTAATTCTGTTTCCCTTGAGAGGGATCTGGATAAGTTGCCGGGACGCTGTGTTGACCAGGTTGTGATGGGGCCTAGGGAGCACTCTAAGTTGGAGCGTCTCCTTAGACTGGCTCTCCATGTTCTGTTCTACGCAGACTGGTTTTCTTCTGCGTTGCTGGCTGCGAGCTGCAAGTCGGTGGAGCAGCTCCCCAGCAAGGTTGGACTGATGGAGCGCCTCAGCCAGGCAATTTGCAAGGCACATCTTGATGCGATGGCCTTACTGTCGGCTGCCATGTCACACCTTGTTGTTGCCCGCCGGTTGTCGGTCCTTTCTGGACTGCCAGTCGGCGATTCCTATCGGGCTACCCTTTTGGAGGCTCCCTTGACTGGCGAGGATTTGTTTGGCGGGGTCCTTCCCTCAGTGCAATCTGAGATGAGGTTGGACCCGTTTGCATCTGAGGATGCACGCCACAATTCCGCAGGCAAGGGCGCTAGCAGGAAGAGGCAGGCTTCTGGCTCCTCCAGGCGTAGGAGGAAGAGGGCAAAGACGACTGCTTTTCAGCAGCAGTCTGCCCCTCCGACTTCCGCTCCGGCAGAACGTCGGAAATCTTCCTTCCGCGGTAGGGGTTCCCATAGGGGTCGAGGCAAAGGCAAAGTTTCCAGAGGTAGGAAGGGTTCCTGACTCTTCCTTGCCCTTGCAAACTCCTTGTCCACTGTCTGTGGCCGCTCCCACGTCCTTGGGCGCGGGAGGCTCCGCCGAGGTGGTTTGGGAAGGGCTAGATTGGCCCCTTCCGGACTTGCCAGTAGGCGGTCGGCTGTCCCATTTCGTTCCTCAGTGGAAAGAAATCACTTCAGACAGTTGGGCCCTAGGGGTTGTGTCCAAGGGTCTCTGCATCCCGCTTCTTCGGGATCCACCTCTGGCGCGAGAGCCTATCTTTTTCCCTTCTCCTTCCGATCCGGGAAAGGTGGAGGCTCTCAGGTCAGAGGTTCAAGCCATGATCGCGAAGGGCGCGATCGAAGAACTTTCACGGGACCAGTGGTCTCCAGGGTTTTACTCCCGGGTCTTCCTCGTGAAGAAGAAGTCCGGTGCCTGGAGGCCTATTATCGACCTCAGTACGTTCAACACGTATGTCGATTCCCCGCACTTCCAGATGGAAACGCCACGGCGCATCATTGCGTCAGTGCGTCCAGGGATGTGGGCTACGTCCATCGATCTGAAGGATGCTTACTTTCACATCCCGGTCAGGAGGTCGGCCAGGAAGTTCCTCAGGTTCACTTTCGAGCAGAAGGTTTACCAGTTTCGCGCTATGCCCTTCGGCCTCACTACGGCCCCCTTGGTTTTCACCAAGTTGTTGCAGGTAGTAGTGGGGCACCTCCACAGTCTCGGGGTAGATGCACACATCTACTTCGACGACTCCCTGTTGCTCCAAGTGGATCCAGTTATCCTGTCCCGGAGCACGAGGTCGGTTCTGGGCGTTCTGTGCCGCCTAGGGTTCATCCCTTCCAGGGAGAAGTCGGAGGTTCTCCCCTCTCAAGATTTTGTTTTCCTCGGTTATCGGTTCAGAACCGATCTGGGGTTTGTCCTTCCACCAGTGTCCAAGTTCGAGAAGGCCTCTCTGTTGCTTTCCGTTCTGGTCGGTACGGAGCGAATTCAGGTCCGATGGTTCCTTCGGTTCCTCGGTTACCCGAATTCACTGGCGGATGTCGTTCCCTTGGGTCAGCTTCACATCCGTCCGCTCCAGCTGTTCCTTCTGTCAGTTTGGTCTCCGGCGTCTCGGCAGTGGGATGTGTACATTCCTCTGCCGGAGTCGGTGAAGGAATCAGCTCGTTGGTTGACTCTCGAGAGCAATGTCTTGGCAGGAGTTCCTCTGGTTCGGGCATCTCCTGCTATGACCCTTTACACCGACGCGTCCATGACCGGTTGGGGTGCATACCGTTCCGGTCAGACGTCGGCGGGGGTGTGGTCGGGGGAACAATTTTCAGAACACATCAATGTTCTGGAAATGCGTGCTGTTCTGTTGGCCCTTCGGGGTCTTCGACCCTCCTTGCAGGGCAAGGCCATTTGTCTGGCGACAGACAACTCCACTGTGGTGGCTTATCTGCAGCGCCAGGGGGGCACCCGTTCCCCGGCTCTGTGTGCTTTATCCACCCAGGTCCTGTTGCTGTGTCAGGAGATCAGTCTCGATCTCACGGTGAGGCACCTTCCAGGTCGTCTGAATGTTCTGGCCGACACTCTGTCTCGGTCTCGGAGCCCGGTTCTCACCGAATGGACCCTCAAGCGTTCGGTGTTCCGGTCTCTTTGCCTGGTTTGGGACAGACCCCATGTGGATCTGTTCGCCACGGCCCTGAACTTTCGACTCCCTACATTTGTGTCTCCGGTTCCAGACCCTATGGCCATGGCGGTGGATGCTCTATCCCAGGACTGGTCGGGAATGTACGCGTATGCGTTTCCTCCCTTCAATCTGGTGGGCAGGGTGTTGGAAAAGATCCTTCTACACCCTTGTACTGTGTTGCTGGTTGCACCGCTCTGGCCTCGACAACCTTGGTTTCCTCTGTTGCTTCGGCTGTCGGTGGACTTCCCACGCAGCATCCCACCCCTGTGGGATCTGCTGTCTCAACCGAGGTCCCGACAGTTCTACTCGGGACCGGAACGGCTCCACCTTCACGGTTGGATGCTATCTCGGGAAGGCTCACTCAGACGGGCTTTTCTCGAGAAGTTGCAACTCGCATCGCAGGATCACTTAGACCTTCGTCTTCCGCCGTCTACCAATCTCGATGGTCCGCATTCGGTGATTGGTGTGTCGGACGGTCGATTGATCCAGTCTCTGCCTCTGTTCCCGTTGTAGCTGACTTTCTTTTGTCTCTGTTCCGGGACAAAGGTCTGTCTCCGGGAACTATTGCAGGCTATCGTTCAGCCATTGCTAGTGTGCTGGCTTTCTATGGTAGCAAGTCTGTGGGCTCGGACGCTTCATTGTCAGCTCTCATTAGGGGCTTCTATATTGAGAAGCCTCGTTCACGACAATTGGTCCCTAGGTGGAATTTAGCACTTGTGCTAGATTCCTTGTTAAGGGCGCCATTCGAGCCCCTCCAGTCGACGGATCGGAAGTTTCTTACTTTCAAGACTGTGTTTTTGATAGCCTTTGCTTCCGGTCGCCGCAGAAGCGAGATTCATGCTTTCAGCAGATCTCCTTCTTGCCTTCGTTTTTCGGCTGGCCAATCTTCGGTCTCAGTGACCACTGATCCCCCTTTTTAGCTAAAAACCAGGTTCCCGGTTTCACCCCAGGGCTTGTGGTTATCCCTTCTTTGGCTTCAACTCTGGATGGGGATTGTCCTGATCGCCTGCTCTGCCCAGTTCGGGCCTTACGTTACTACTTGGCCAGAACAGAGGGGAAGGGGGTGGGGGGACACTCGTCTAGGCTGTTCCGGTCTCTCCAGCCCGGTCGCTCTGATATCTCTGCAGCGACCATCTCACCCTGGATTGTTCAGACTGTTCGAGCTGCGTATGAGTCGGCAGGGGATCAGTCCTTGCGGGTGTCAGGGGTTAGGGCTCATGAGGTTCGCGCTTTAGCTACTTCGTGGGCCTTATTTAATGGTTCTTCTTACGCTGAGGTCATGACAGCTGCTGTTTGGAGGGGTCATTCTACGTTTACGGAGTTCTATCTCCGATCTTTGTCGGGACAGTCTGACGGATTGTATTCTTTGGGCCCTCTTGTGGCTGCCCAGTCCGTTGTCTGTCCTCCCTCTTCTTTTGCATAAGCCTCATTATGTCTTCTCCGCGTGATCCGGAACGCTGGTCGTAATCAGGCTTTGTGTCACAAAAGGAAAGGGTATTTTGAATTTTTCCTCCGGGGGTATGGGTCCTATTGTTGGAACCCTTCATCGCTCCACGGAGACACCACTGCGGTAAGTCGAATTCGCATTATAATGACTGTGGTAACGTATTTTGAAATAGAATTGAGGTTTCTCTTGTGAAACCAATTTCTATTATAAATACTTACCACAGTCATTAGGTGAGTTCCCTCCCAGCCTCCCCTTGTCTCCTTGGCTCTCACTTTTTTGGGCTTTGGAATTATGAAGTGGGAAGCATGGCTTCGTGTCTTATCAAGTGCGTGAATACTGCCGTCTGATTGGTGGGTTTCCTAGGGGTTCCCCATGGGGGAAAAATTCTTTATTTACGTATGTAAAGAGCCAAGTAAGGTTGGAATATGCATTATAATGACTGTGGTAAGTATTTATAATAGAAATTGGTTCCACAAGAGAAACCTCAAGTTCAATTTAAAGACTCGGAAAGCATGCATGAGTCTTGCATGAGTGTGACAATAGGTTCACCTTTTACTGTCTAATAAGTTAAATGGGTCAGTGAACACCAATCAGCATTGGAGGCACTCAGAGGAGACTATGTTTTAAGTCAGATATAAGCCTCAAACTGTCCAATAAGTGAGAGAACGAACAGGTCTCGGCCCGAACGGGCCTCGACAGCCATCCTTTCTCTCACGTATTAGACAGTTTTAGGCTTATATCCATAACTAATTTCAGGTAACGTCCTTTTGCTTAACTTCTGCACTTTATCTCAGGCAATATCCATGCAATAAAATCGTTTTTGTTTATTCATATTTGAAGTTACTTGGCAGAGAAGAGGACCATATTTATTCTGACTGAATACTATATTGATATATATTGACATTATATCGTGTACCTGATGTCAAGTGCACTTTAAATTATATGAACATTAAGTGTATTATATATCAATGTAAAGTATGCAGTATGGATCAATAACAATGTTTCATACCACTGGTTGTTTACTGTTAAAAGGTATCATAATCGATTTTTGATGGCTCCCATTGGCTTTAATTAATACCATGTGATCTCCTACAAAATAGTTCGCTGCTTGAGTATAACAATATTTTAATTTGCTGCAAAGTCATAAACAAATCTGAACAATACCCCTGCCTATCAATAAATACAGATGAAAACAGTCTTGGTTTCTTTGATGCATCATCGAAACAGTGATCAATTCGCAAACGCTTTTGTGATCGTGGCTCTTGATATGACGACACAGTTAAAAAAGATGAACATGATCGATGTACAACCGTTGACTGATTCACAGCTGAATGAACGTAAGAAGTTAATGACGACAGTGATTAATTCTACTCTAGATCATTGATGCTGGCTCCTCAAGGTGTAGAACTTTCCAAGTAGGCTTCCAGTTCTTGTGATAAATAACTAGTCTAACGTGATCATCAATTTAACGTTCACCACAAATGACTGTCCGTGATATGTTTACTAGTACTTTAAATCAAGTTTAACTACATGGGGCATATCAGATATATTTTTATTGCATATTGTTGTTTCAAAATAGTACAATTGTATAATGACAATTTTTTATCAATACGTAGATTTACCGACCGGGATTAGCAGTACTGACATCGGACCTCGGCCTCTGTTAATACTGTAATTCCATGTAGATAAAACCAGTTAACGATCTTACGTAGTAGCAACATGCTATGAATACATTGTATCGTTTGAAACCTTTTTCAGAATTAAAAAAAGAAATGCAATACTGCTTTATAGTTAGATTAATAGGCACAGACTATTTTACATGGTAAACAGTAAATAGAATACTGTATGATATATACGTACTAAAGAATAATATTCTGTAAACAAATAAAGTCCAACGTAGCATGCCTGGACAACTTTGAAAATAATAACAGCTCTCACCAGAATATCATATGCAATGACACCTCTGTAAACAAGATTAGTAGTATAAAGACATAACATGCCAGCTCTTGCACAGGCATTTACCTTGTATGTAAATCAGTTTTGCAAAGACGTACACAATACAGCTACTCACAACATTAACTTCCGTTCCGACAGGCGAATTCTCGATGACATTGCCGTCGTATTTAAGGCTTGTAAACACTGGCCTGTTGTCATTGACGTCACTGATCGTTACGGCAACCTCCACAAATCCCTACCAAACAAAGCAGGTGTAAAGTGTTACTATTTTGTCTGTTGCATGTAGCATTTTGTCATTACACACCTTTTGTCCATTTACTACACACAGTTGTCTGTTTCGGTATATACATGCACCACATATTGTTCTGGGATACACAGTTTTGTTTTGGGGGCTATCATAATTTTTTCAGAATGCACATGTACTCTTTTTTTCTTCTGCTGTTTAACGTTATTGCGTAATAAAAATCCATTTTGTTGCCGTATGTGTGTGTTATGTTGTTTCGATATACGAATAATTGTTTCCTTATCAATATTAATTGTTTTGGTATAAACTATGTACACCGCATATTGTTTCGATATCTATATATCCCGTATGGAAGTCTAACAAACGTAGAATGTTTATCATCAGCTAAACGATTTCTCTTAAATAGCTATAAGAATCGATGTTTGAAGATTTTGTATCTCATGTCACTTCATTAATATACTCACTGTACGTGTGGCGTTGCCGTTGTCTGTGGCGATTACCGTAAATGTGTATCTGCTATTGACACACTGGTCCCTGTCGAGCGTACCATTGGTAGTTATAGACCCATTCATCTGACAAAAACAATTCAAAGGTAGGGTTAACGCCTATGGAGATTTAACATTAGCGTCGGCCCCCACTTGGGATTTCAAAACAAGATAAATCCAAAAAGGTATGGGTATAGGAAGCTTAAATCAGGAACAGTTAGTTTCAGATTTCATTTGATGATAAATGGGACCTCCTTGACTTACACCTGTGTGGGTGTTAAAGGTGCAGTAATACAATTCCTCCTAGAGCATTTAAATGGCACAATTACTATAAACTTATATCATCATCGTATGCAACGTATTTCAACTGTTATTTTGTTACCGAATAGTACACTATTTCAATAAAGAATTGTTTTTTTTTATTTAAGATTTAAGCAGAAAAGTGTGTAATTTCTAATGAGAAATTTTCCATTTTTGACACGTTAATTCATAAAGTTCTAAAACTAGTCTATTTGTCTTACTTGTTCAAAAGTTGGCTACCAATAATATCTTTCAACATCAGGAATTTCATAAAAATTGAAAACTGGTAAATTTGTCGTATACTACTTTTGGTTCAAAAAAAGAAAAACATAGCTTTCTTTCCACATTTCCTTGAACCTGTGTTTCTTCATGACTAAAGGTCATTGGGTGTTGATATTTGGTAAAAAGGTTTTTCATGTAAATGAGTTTAAGTGTTGATAATTTTGATGACCTTGAACTTTGTTCAAGGTCACAAAAACCAAATGTGCCGAAATAATTTTGTGTATGGGGAGTCAGACAAGGGTATCTTTCATTGCTTTATTTGTTTAGAGATAACGATATAAAATAGTGTAATATCCCTTCATATTTTATTTATGGTCAAAAGGCTACAAAAATAATAACTAGAACTGTAAGCCAAAGATTAACTAAAACCTCCGCTCCTATATAAACCAGAACTGTAATCTAAAGGCTAACTAAGGCAAAGCATTGCAAATTAATCCATTGTCTCCCACCAGTAATTATGTATGTATATATGTTACTGACATACTTGTACTTCCTCCCTATGCCAAAACATACTTTCAAACCACATCTTGATAGCCTAGATGACCCACTTTTGCTGAAATCGTTCTAGTAGTTAAGGAAGAGTTATCAAAGATAAAGATTTTTTAACAAAGGGTCATAACTCCTTAAAAGGGTCGAAATGAACAAATACTACACTGATGCAAAACATCAGGGGGTAATTACCATATCTGTAAGCTTTCATGAAATTGGCCCAGAAGTTTCAGAGGCAGACAAAGTGTTTTTCAACAAAGGGCCATTACTCCGTAAAAAAATATATAGTCAGATTGAAAAAAGAATTCCTGGATGCACACCATCAAATGGTTGTTACCATATCTGGAAACTTTCGTTGAAATTGACCCCTCAGTTTTGGAGGACATATCCGGACAAGGATTTGTCAACACAAGGCCATAACCTTGAGGGCAAAAAAGGTCAGAATGAAAAAATAATACCTGGATGCACAACTTCAGGTGTNCACCCCCACCCCCACCCCTAACTTCTTTGCGGGGGTATAATAAAGTGTATAATAGTTTTGTTATTAAGATTAATTAATTTATTTTTAGATAATTGCATAGCTTTGTCTCTAACACAATCTTAAACCTACAGTAGTTCTTCAGAGGAAAAATTACTATGACAGAATGAATATTCATGAGTTGTTACTGCTGCACATAACGTGAAAACATGCCTAACATAATAAAGTGTTTTAGTATGATACAAAAACAGAAAATGAATCGGCATTTATCATAATAAACATTGATAGTCAAATCTTCAAGGTTATGTGAAATTGGGCATTGATCATGTTTGGCATGCTAAAAAAAACTACATTACCGGTTTTGATATTATATAGAAATGATTCTGTAGACAGAATACATATATAGGAAGTTTTTAAAGAAGTTTAAAATATAGACTACCATTGTAACTATATAAAGGCAAGTTGACAATGTTAGTTTTATTTTAAATTTTGTGGAAATTTTGCATGTTTTTCCAATTAAAAGTATCACTACGTTTACTTCATGTCTACCAATATGACTTATCTAGTATCAAAATAACAGTAATTCTATACAATTTACATTATCATAATTCATTTCCAAGTTAACACATTTGCCTGTGATATTTATCGGTCATTTTGTTAGGATACCCCCGTCACTCAACCTGGTGTTATGCAGGTGGTCCACTACGGTTATCAGTAATAATTATGAATAATCATTTATGCAGTTATTGATCATTTTTATGTATCTACATATGGCATAGGAATAAAGGAAATCAAAGTGGGGGCCAAATGTTGACCCCACCTTTGAAGATAAAGTGAATGCATTCAATTAGTCATATATATGTATATACAAAATATATTCAAATTTATGCCATGGATAAACGGTCAATTGCTTGCAAGAAACAAAACGAATCGTTAATTACTGACTCACCGGTGAGATGATGAATACCGGTACGTCTGTTGACATGATACGGTAGGTGATCTGGGTCCCTGGGTCGTTATCGGTAGCCGACACTACTCCTACTAAAGCACTAGGAGCCTCGGCGAATTCGTCATTTTCGGGAACAGAAAACGAGTACAATGTTTCGTTGAAGACAGGGTCATGGTCATTCACATCAATAACGGCAACAGTGACATTAACCTGAGGGATAAGAAATGAACACGCTTAGTGTTTACAAAATAAGCCAGGGATTACGAGTAAAAACAGCCAAACAACATAAGTAAGCAGAAAATGATGAGTATACGTTAACGGGAATGGAGTTAAAACCAATCTCTAATCAAAATGCTGTAACGCTGGACGGACGGACAAACGGAAAGTTAAAGACACTAAGCGTTCTCCACCATCGAGCGGAGGCATGGAAACGCCTTTCTCTAGATGAAAGGATTGGAAACAAAACAAAACGTTTTGTGTTTGTATCGTTAACAAAGACAAAAACCAAAAATCAATAATACCGAATGATTAGATCAAAAACTCTGGAATAAAAGCTGATGAACATTGTAAGTTACATAACAAACGTGCTATGTCTTCTATCAACTTAGGTAATGGAACGTACCGTTGTAAGGTATTTCCCGTCGGTCGCCTCAACTTGTACAACATACGGTGTGGGATGCGTCCCGACAACAACCCTCTGTTTCAAGGCCAGCACTCCGTCCTCATCGACTCCGAATAGGTCTGTAATACGTACAAACCATTCAAGGCAAATATCATTACCTACAACTCTTATTGTTATTAAACGATAATTGAATTATTTAATATCGAGATTGTTATAGAAATAGTTCATACACAAGACGTTTTGGAACATATAGTGAAATATCAAAACAATTTTCAAATAAAAAAGAATATTATTTTAGCTCTATACCATTCGATAAGATTAAGTGAGTTATGTATAAAACATCAATATCATAGTCAGTCAAATAGGCATGGAAATTCATTAAAATACACAGCTCTCAATATTACTTGCAGACTCGTTCGTCTAGTCTAGGCAAATGTATGAACCCACAAAGTCAACATAACGAAAGAAATGAGCATGAGCCGGAAGAAATGTTACTGAAATTTCTGGTTCGAAATCCGAATTATTTGTAGGTATTCTGTTTTTCCCCCACGAAAAAAAACATTTTGCAGAAAGAGAAGATACTGGTAATTCATTTTTGAGTGTTATTTAAACGAGATAAATCTAAAAAAATATGATGTGTTCGTTACATTTTCTTTTCTTGTCTTGGTTATAACATTTCTATACCCATAATCTAATCCCATAATTTCCTTTTATAGTTATTTTTGTAGTCTTTTGTGTTCCTCAATCAATATACCGGAGAGAATTAAAAAAAATAATACTGATATTATGTTTTGAATGGAATATAGTCTTTAACAGGAGGTCAAACACAACTAAAGACTTGATGGCTGGGACAAGATGGGATTATCTCACCTCAGGTGAGATAAAGTTTAAATGATAATGATGTTTACGAAAAAAAACAAAAACATTGTTTAAATAACACATACAGTAAAATGTTTTATTTACCTTCATTAAAGTTATTTCTGTATTTATCGAGAAAAGACAGAACCGAACTAAAGGTGGTTCAGTTGTGGTAACATTAAAGTCTAGAGTAGTACCTCTCCTATAGTTAAGAGAGGCATACTGTGAGCTGTTTATCTCACAAAGGAATTCGTTTACGTTATTCAATACCTGTGCAATGTAGAGAAAAACTTTGAAACCAGTCTTACCTGAGTAATCCATTATGGAGTAAGAAACATTCCTGTTGGTTGGAAGTGCGTCCTTGTCCGTAGCTGTTAAGTGTATAACAGAGGTGCCCGAAGGCGACCCTTCCATCACAGTTGCACTGTATGTAGTTTGGAGGAACACGGGGGCGCAATCATTGATGTCATCAACGTTGATAAAAACCTTAAAAGGTAAACAATATAATACTGTATACAGTTTTTCTTTTCTCAAATATCACGTGTATTTGTAAAAAGTTACATTTAAGTTAAACGATACAAACAGAGGCGATTACTCGTGTTATTTAAAAGAGATTTTGCCCATAAATACAAAATAGAGTAAATACAAACGGTTGCAGTTCCTGACAGACTAGTGTCACCATTGTCGGCCGCCTGAATCACCAGTGTGTACATTGACGTATCTTCTCGGTTAAGTGATGTCAGAACATTTATAACACCCTGCAACAGTAAAACAGAGTATATACTTATTCTCTCCGGCCAGAAAAGTATCAAGGCGCAATGTAATATCTGCATTTCACAATGTGATTTCGCTCTCAACAATGAAAATAGTTGTGTATATAATTCAGAAATTTTCGGCATCATGGTGAATATTTCAAATCATTACTGAGAGTGAACAGGACAAAAGTTAAGTTGCGGAAATCATCTCCCAAAGTTCAATATGTAATTACCATGCGAGTATATATTTATTTTGAAGAAAAATAGATTATCCAGGGTATGTTTATTTATTTGTTCAAATCTTACCGTGGTGCTATTTATAGCGAAGTGGTGCCCGAAGTCCTGGGATATGATGCTGTACACCAGCTCAGCATTAGGCCCCTCGTCGCGGTCAGTAGCCTCGGTATCGACAGTTAAGTGTTCACTTTTCGGACCTGACAGACGCCATGTAAATAATCCCTTTGTTAATGTGGCCATAAGGGCATGGTTAATAAGTAATCGTTAAAAGTAAACAAGTAAACAATCTATAAATTACAATTTGTTATCAAGCAAAATACTTAGTACGTACGCATCGTGCTATCTGGCTTGAACATCGTGTGATCAAGAAAGGCTTCAATCATACACAGATACACTGCGCTTTCAATAAGCCTGTATAATAACACTTACGTGAGAAAATGCCGTTGTCTATTGCAGAGTATAACACATATTTGCTATCATACATGATAAACAGAATATCATATGCCTTTTCTCTGGCTAGTTGTAAGAAACGTCTAATGGTATTAAAGGTACTATATACGCCTATCATCTACTATTGGTCATATCCTGGTTGTTTTAGTTGTTCTCCCCATCATCCAGGTTTTAATGTTTTTGTCTTTCCGGGTGAAACTTTCATTTCTAAAAACATGTATTTATTGATGTTCTGTTAATCTTTTCGGCAGTATTGACATGTAAGCTATCGTTACTTAATAGAGATCGCTGACCGCAAATCGTCCGCCATGTTTGTTTGTGCAACGTTCCTGGCACAACTGTTAAGACAAAGGAATCCGAAAAATAACTTCCGTTCTGTTGCAATACAAGATAACTTCACGCTGTTTAAACACTTGCCCCTCCTGATCGTACACATATTGCACGTATTTCATGCAATTATGGAATTCAGATTATTTTTATCCATGATTTACACACCTAGCCTGAACGGATATTCATCATGGGCGAAGGCAAAGGTGAAAACCGTAAAAAATGAAATAAGTTGATCCTGACTTGTTTTATTACATGCCATTTACATTCAACCCACCAATCCTTCATGCCACATTTTAATCGCTCAAAATTAAACGGCGTCATAATCCATTAAAGCCTGTAACACGTATTTCTATTCTTGGAGTCTGTAAAATATTTACAGAGATAATTAGCAGCAGTCAAATTCTAATTTAGAATAAAATCTGTAATATATTTACAGACATAGACAGCGAGAATATCCTAATTTATTTTAGTAACGATCTGTTACACTGTAACAGATTTACAGACTCGTCACGTGACATTTCCCCTCCAGTCAGTGTTGGAAATTAGCACCAGGCGTATAATAAGCGGTAATATATCATTTGCAACATTTTTATAAAGTTGAAATAGTGATTTAGTAACCTGAGGATGGTTTTATTTCCAGTGGCTGTATTACAAAATAAACGTACATGGTACTACATGTATTGACTGATTGTTTTTATATATATATACCTTCATCCACTGTTTCGTTATACATCTCTTCTAGAAATTCGGGTTTGTTGTCGTTAACATCCAGCACGGTAATATTCAGGACTGTCGAGGTCTGCAGTGATAAGTGTACATAACAAGACACTTACATTGTAGCGGTACATATAACATGAAGCTGTAAATAAGACCCTGTATACCAAAGTGCCATGCATCTTAGCTTCCTGAAAGACATATGCAAGACCCCACACTTGTTTTTTTCTAACAAATCAGAAAGTACGAGTTAATTGCGCAAACGAATATATATATATATATATATACGTCCGCGCAATAAATGAGTGCTTTCTGTGATTCGTTAGAAAAACACAATTGTGCGGTCTTGCGTTTATCACATACCTTCCGTATTTGGAAGAGATCGATACAAAGATTTTATAAACTTTGATATTTTTGCAAATACCGGGAACTTTTCAGTTCACCATGACAAGGGGATTGCCATGAAAAGTAGTTCCGGCTAGTAGGTAAATACAACTTTCCATATTGGACATTTGCAATACAGAACGTTGTATTTCATGGTCTGAAAAATGATTGTATTACTATAACAAGATTCAACAGGTATGTGATAAAGAACTGTATTCAACGAATGCCTCTTTATATTAAAGTATTTGCTTTAATGCACATGTAATGAATATATTCTTACAGTGTGATTGGCGGTATCTGTAACGCTAATTTCCAGGCTATACGATGCATTGACTTCACGATCAAGCTGTTTATTGAGGATCACGTATCCAAGTCCATTGTCACTCTTTACGGAAAATAGATCATGGGTATCTGAAAATATCGAGAAGAACAATATAAGAACGGTATTAAAATGTTTCGATTATTCGAAAGAACAAAGTTAAACACCAATACTGATGACACATTTCAAAAGATATATGTTTATTATGTCAGACCATTGACAATAGTGTACTGGAGCTTTCGGTCGTCAAGGTGATCTGCATCCGAGGCACTGAGTTGATAGAATCTGGAGCCGACAGCGATGTCCTACAATAAGGAGGAACACATTTTGGAGAAGAAAAAAATGTAATATGAATAAGGAAACACGATGCCTTTCTGTTTTAAGAATAACGACGTAAACATGTCTTTATTTTCCTGCAGGACATGTACATTTCACCTTGACAAACATGAAAGATAAGAACAATTTGTTCCTTAAAATAAGTCGTTTGCATAAAAACATGCAAAACAAAAAAGTTTGATATTTGACAGGTTTCCTTTGCATTATTGGATTAAAACAAGTGCTACAAAAAACAAATAAGTCGTTTTCTTGTTACATAAACTGTATACTGAAGTTGCAAAACCTGTAATAGGTATCAATGATTTATAGAGAAATAAACGTGGAACGCTCGACAGCATAGAATTTTGTTAAGCAAACGATATGAAAACTTTGTTTATGTCTTTTCACACATTACCTCTCTTATTGCTGTCTGGTATGTTCCGTTCGAAAAGATGGGAATGTTGTCGTTGACGTCTAGAATTACAACTGCTAACGTCATTGTGTTGTTAAATATTCCGTCACTGACTTGAATCTGTAAAATTAAATACATGTCATAACAAATACAACATACAGATGACCATTTAAGTGCATTACATGCGCGATTTCATTCTGTTACATGTGAACAGTCAACGGAATCGTGTACTGTTACTATCCAAATGAAGAACTAATTGATGAAGAGGCACTTATTTACGTTGTAACTATTTGTTTCATAAGTGTTGTACAATAAACAAAAGTGATTTCTTTATATTATAAGAGCTATTTCGTTTCCATTTACATAGTTAGCTCTGGGGGGGAAATGTAATGTTTTCCTTTATCAATAAACAAATATCTTTTTCTATAATTATCATTCATTTTATCATTTTTATTAATATCATAATTTCTTTTTACGGAATGTGATTACCGTCAAATTGTAGTGAGTGATATTCTCGAAGTCCAGAGGAGATTTGTTGATTACACATGCAGAAAGTGACCCATTTCTTTCCTCGATTCCAAAAGAGGCGATATCATTCAGAATCTCGAAGGTTAACTGCAGCGTAAAAATATTACAAAAATATATAATGCAGATAAAAGGTGTTATATTCAATAGAATAGTGTTTAAAAAACATCTGATCACCACCCACTAATTAATTAGCTTTGAGATATTAGATGTATTTGGAACAATAATTTGATGGGTTGTTTTTATCCTGTATTAGAATTGTGATTTTGTTTCTTTCATACGCATTTTGATATTGAAGTCCTTTCCTGCCTTAACTCCAATGAAACAAGCAGATATTTGGCCAATTATTTTGGATGCCAAGTACCTGCGGGTTGCTGTCTCTGTCGATTACCAACACGTTTTGGATACATGTTTCAGGAGGCGTTGATTCCAACACGGAAACCGTGGTGTGTTTAAACTTGAACACTGGAGGTTGGTCATTCACGTCCAGAACGTCAATGTCAACCTGGAACGATAGTGACCTTCTCAATGTAAATACAGGGAAGGTTATATATCATCAATGGTTGTTGACAATTGCTATTATATATATGTGTAGAGGACACCCGGTCAGTTACTTTTGAATTAAATTTATATTTATTCGAGGGAATATATTTTCAAATATAATCATTTGTAACAAGAAAGAGAAGAAGGTAATATGGGGTTATTTATTCAGTAGATAATATAATTGGCTCAATAAAACATAGGCAACAAGTTATTTAATGAACACTGGAAAATCATGTTTTATTCATCAAATTACCACATGCGATGTTAGAGGCCTTAACATTGAAGCTATGAAAACCAAAATAACAGGATTTCTTAAATTTTTACAAGTGAAATATCGGAAATTTTCATTTTGATAAAACTAATATCTTCACTAAGAAATTTGATATCGTTAGACCTTTTCGTCGTTGTAGTAAAAAAGAACATAAACATAAAATTTGATTGTTTTCGAGTTGAATACCATGTACATTTGCAACGTATGGAAGAATTTTTACTCGAGGTTCGCGTTCTTCGTGTCAAATATATGCGCTATTTACGGTAAACCATGAAAATCCCTCTCTATACCAGAAAAGATATGCAGCATATTTGTAGATAAAGAGTATAGATATCAGATATTTTGATATGAAATATGTCATACAAGGCATCAGCTTACCAAGGACGAGCACATCCCTTCGCTATTGGTGGCTGTTACTGTAAGTATGACATTAGGTAATGTTTCACGGTCCAATATTTCCGTCGCCTCAATTACTCCCTGCAGTATTAAAACAAAGGAAACGCTAACTAAGCAATGACAGTAATATATATACATTTGTATTTACTATAAGTTGTTATCATATCAACTTGCATAAATTGGAACATGCAACCCCTTTGTATTTTTTCTAACAAACTTAAACATTACACGTAAACCTATTACAATAACCTACGGAATGCCACTAGAATTACATTTGGATCAGTGATATTGTATAGATGATTCGTATTATTACGCCTGGATCCATGATAATGTTTTTAAGATGACGACATAATGACATATGATACAGAATTACGAAATTAGAATTATTTTGCATAGTTAAAGGATTGGTTATTGGGGCTGATGAAAGAAACATGATGATGTTTTAAATGCATATTTTAGAGATGTATCTACAATGCATTTTTTTTTGTGAGATTTTCCGTGATTATAGAACCTTATAGTATACGTACGGTCGAAGTATTTATACGGAAGCCCTCGACATATGGAACCAGGTGATAGAATATTGTCCCCGCATGCTCGGTTGTTGTATTGACGTCTGCTATTTCTACTGGGACTGGTGTATTTTCCTGTATCCTAACGTGTATAAGGCTAGAAGATTTTTCAAACACTGGTTTACCTTTTGTTCCAGTTGATAAACGCAGAGTGGTTGTATCATTTAACCCGCCATGGTCTGTGACGACAAAATGCAATACGACGGTTTGAATAAAGCTAGCTGTAATATTCTGTGATGCATATATCTTGCCTGTCCCTGAGTTTACATGGAATGTGTCGTCATCATTTAACAAAGTGTACTTGAGTTTGTTGAACAAGTAAGGACTTGTGTCATCTGGATCACTTGCCGTAACTATTCCTACCAACACACCAGCTTCAACATCTTCAACACTACACACACTTGTCACGTTTTTCACGAAATGGGGCCTCTCATTTACATCAATGACATTCACAACGACTTCTGCTGTAGCAGTCTTGGAATCTTCAGCCATGTCTCTGGCTTCTACAACCAAATCATATGACGATGCATTTTTGAAGTTCAATGTACCATTGACGTAGACGAAGCCAGTTGATTGGTTGATAGTAAACCGTCCGTAATCACCGGATACAATGGAATATACCACGGAACCTGCAGGTCCACACATATCTGTATTCGTAGTAATCGGACAGTCGGCGTCCGTCGCGGATACGTTGACAATACTGTATGGAAACATCTGGTGTTCGCTAACGTTCACTGTGTACAAATCATCACTGAACACTGGTGCGTTGTGATTAGATGTATCTATACGAATAACCATATGTGTGGAGTTAGACTTAGGGGGCGCGCCGTAATCTACCACATGGACCTCCATATTGTACGTGCAGTTCACACTGAGGTGGACATGTTCGGCGGCAATCCTCACATCACCCGTGTGGTCGTCTATCACGAAATTCCCCTCACCACCCGATAAGAAGAACGTAAATCCAGAGTTCGATATATCGTTGTCCGTGGACCCTATCGTTAATACGTAGCTCCCAGCCTTGGCATTCTGAGGAATGGCGCCGGTGTACTCCGTTTTGTTAAACTCTGGAGTGTTGTCATTGATATCTGTCACATTGATGGTGATCAGCTGTGATCGTGTATGGCTATTTACTCCATCAGATACGAATATTTCCAGGTTATATATGTTTATATCTTCTGCATCGAGTAGAGAATTGGTATACAAAGTCCAATTATCGAAAATAAATTTCGAGTTGTTTACCGTTAATGTCAAGTTTTCAATGGGGGTATCGGGATCAACCGCAAAAATCTGTAATATATCATGTAACCGCACATGTTTCATGTTATTGATTATCATACATATATATAACATTGTTATTATGTTTTATATAATCACGAGAACCATTGATAAACAAATCATGTATACCATTGTAATGTATTATATATACTGTGATACATAACTATGCATATAATGATTACATAATATTTGTATTATATTATATACCATGGATAGTGATTATCATATTAACCGTTGTTTTACATTTTCTTCGCACTTTTGCTACATGTATATAGTATTGTTTTAAATGTTCACATATCCCATTGTTACAGATTACTAAATACATGTACATCACTGTTATAGGAACTTGCAATTATTGATATGAGTAAATCTATACTATACGATAATGCGATGATTCGAGTTATACGTTATACAAAAATTGAGATACATATATTCTTCAAATGGTATGGCTAATATACCCGAAATAAGACATTTAACGAGATATTTGCATAAATTAGTGTGAATTGCATATTTCGACTGCAATAGTGATTGGTATCAGCACAATCATGACAGGATACTTGACATGGTCATTTTGTTAATTGCTTGTATACAATGTAACAACCCTGCATAACTTCGTCACCAAAACCATACAACGGACACAAATGAGTTATATCTTTCTCCATTTACTCATGAAGAAAATGTTGAACATGTATTTACAAACCTTGATAATCGAGGTTTTAATAGGCTCGTTTTCTTTTACAAATCCCACCAATGAATCCATTATAAATGTTGGGGCCACGTCAT